TTTTTTTTTTTTTTTTTTTGCCTTGTCTTCTTTGTAAATGTCCGTAATTTGGCTTCGTTTCGATGATATTAGGCAGGGGCCGTCCCGTCCGTAGCTCCCGCTCACATCACTAACTTCAAGCGACGGAGTTGATCCCCAAGGGTTTTAGGATCTACGACACCAACGGAAGAATAACAGAACGAAACTTGGGGGCTTGAGCCATCTCTCCTTATTACCAGTTCTTTCCCAGCTTAAACCCTGGGCCTGTAGAGACTGATGAACATGATCTACCAACCCTAGAGAGGTGAATAATACTTCCGATAAGGCATATATGGTAGTAATATGAGATCTCGTCTTACATCCAGTAATAATGATTCATAAACCACAGTAATCTAGACCCCTTTCCTTGCCCGACTCTCACTGTGAAAATCTCCTCTAAATCGCTGGCATTGATATCCACTTACCGGACGGACGGTGTAGACTCCCAAGCAGGAGTTCTTCCGACAGCCTCAGATTGTTTGTAAGTTTGATGGGTTTCTGATGGAGCAAGCAAAGACACGGAACAAACGGAAGTCAAGCTTTCATAGAAACAATACAGTCTAGTCTAGATGATTCAAACTTTATGTGGGATGTCATGTAGATCTATGGTACGATAAAATCGACTTGGCTACGGATACGGATACCGCTACTTTGGTTCAACGGCGCAACATGCCACGATCTAATCAGAGATTGATAAAGCAAGTTTCATCTCTAGCCCGGAAATCAATTTCCTAGCCGTAAATGAACCTGGTCGGCAGTTGAGACAGTTATATGGAGACGGAACATTTGTAAGTTTATTGGTCTCTTGACTAATCATACAGAAGAGAGAAAAAACCAAGAATTGTAACTGACCGACAAGGAATTGTCGCCGAGATGAAAGGGACCATGCTGGAAATCCACCGAGGATGTCACCCATGGATGATATCTAGATACACTGATACAGCACCCCTGCTCATTCTTCTTACTGCAAGGGGAAGTCTCGGAAGGAAGGGTTTGTTCCCTGCTTGGAAGGATTCCAGAAGAAAGAAGTAGATGGCATGATAGAGTAAGCAGGAATGGATAATTGTTCAACCAGCTTGAGTAAAGCCTCAGTTGCAACGTCAGTCACGTCGTAGTCAGTAAACGCATGACGAGTAAATAAACTCTAATTATTGGAATCATGTCACTGTCTTCAAAGAAACCAAGTGGGCTTCCCGAGTGGGATAATCTTGTTAGTGAAAGCTAGAGCCAGCAGAGTGACCTACCTCTCGACTCTGAAGAAAAGACTCCACCATGAGAAATGGGAGGTGAAACAGGACATTTTTTTGTCTCAATCGAAATGATCAAGAGACCCAGCACAGACAATTTAGGTGCAACAGTGGGTTGCCTCAGACTCAGACCCTGCCAGATATGGACAATGGCCGACAGAACAGTCCTGAGTCAACTGAGGCAGAGACAAAGCAGTGACGTTATTCTAAGCTTAAACATGGTTAAACTTTTTAGAGCACAAGGGGCAGGAGATTGTTTTTTTTTATGCAACCTAAAGCTGAGAAACAAGAAAAGAGGCGTCTATCAATCTTGGAGCTAACGTTGACAACCGTCTCTCCCGTTATTAACCTTTTTTGCTAACCTAGTTTTTAGGTTATTGCATTCACTATACTAGTAATTACATATGGATCTCAGGTGCTGTACGTGGATCATAGCGCCAAGAGCATTGTTAATATCAGTTCAGTTCGGCCCCAGCATTGCTACTGTAACTGTACTCCATTAATTCCCCAGTATCGATTGGGGTAGAAGTAGAACGGACGAATTCATAACCGATTGTGTTAATGTGCCAAGATGTGACAGACTAGACTTCAGAGTAACCTTCTCTTCTTGGTTGTGCGTTATGCGAACATGTTTGACATGACGATATTGACTCTTGCTGCCAAGTTATTAGACTCAATGCGTAAGAGGAATGTAAACTCCTTGCAACTAGTCCATGGTACTAATTCTCTGTCTTTATCTGTCTCTGTTATTCACGAAGGAATATCTCCACTACATCTCAATCCTTTGCACCTGTTACTGAAACAGAGCAGATGCATGCAGAGGCAAGATAACAACATCTCGTACACATGCAATTTAAGCAGTGGACCCTACGAATTGCTTTGCCTCGTTTTGAAAGCACATATACATGCCATTGGTTGTGCCGGGTCCTTGTTTAGACTTTACCAGGGAAGTCTTGACATGTCGCACTAACAAACATCCTCCATCAATCCCATCGCAGCACAGAGAAGCCATGACCAAGGTAACGGTACACGGTCCGATTTTATCGATCCTGGTCTCAAGCCAAGAGTATCCCACAGAAACAAGATACTAGATATCCTTGGCCGAGTAGTTAAAAGTTTAAAAGAGCCGCTCCGCCCTTTAGATCAGATCAACATCCGGTTGCTACTCTATTCAACTCTTCAGCGAAGACAAATACTTTCATTTCTCCCACTTTATACAGTCTTTCTTTCTTTCTTTCTACATTCATTACATTCACTCATTCATCTTCACATCCACCATGCGTTGCCAAATCCTCGCCTCTGCCCTCATCTCGGGGGCCATGGCTGCCCGACCTTTCCTCGACCAGCCTGATACTGGTCTCGACCTGATTGTCGGAAACCTCACAAAGGGAGAGCTTCCCAGCCTTGATGCCATGGTTGGTCTCCCTGACTTCGAGTGGGCTGCCCAGAACTACCTCCCCGTTGAGAACTTCACCTACTACCGTAACGGTGCCGCTGGCGAGTGGTCTTACCGTAACAACCTCGAGGCTTTCCAGCGTTACCGCTTCAAGCCCCGTGTCATGGTTGATGTCACCAACGTCGCCAACACTCTGCCCACTACCATCCTGGGCCACAACTTCTCTGCTCCCTTCTTCATCAGCCCTGCTGCCAAGGCTGGTAACGCTCACCCTGAGGCTGAGAAGAACCTGATGAAGGGTGCTGCTGAGGGTGATATCCTCTACATGCCCGCTCTCTACGCCTCTCTTACCATTGAGGAGATTGCCAAGGCCAAGGCTGAGGGTCAGGTCGTCTTCCAGCAGCTCTACCTCAAGACTGACAACGACACTGCCACTAAGCAGCTCCTCGAGCGCTCTGAGAAGGCTGGCGCTGCTGCCATTGTCTTCACCGTTGACTCTGCCGCCAACGGTAACCGTCACCGTGCTGCCCGCTTCGGTGTTGGTTCTGCCAACACTGACTACACCTACATTACTTGGGACTACTACAAGAAGCTCCAGAAGATGACCAAGCTTCCCGTCATCCTCAAGGGCATCAACTCTGCTGCCGATGCTAAGCTCGCTGTTGAGCACGGTGTCCCCGCTATCATCATCTCCAACCACGGTGGTCGTCAGGTCGATGGCAGCCCCTCTCCTCTCGAGGTCGCTCTTGAGATCCACGAGGAGGATCCTGAGATCTTCAAGAAGATCGAGGTCTACGCTGACGGTGGTGTCCGCTACGGTGCTGACATCCTCAAGCTTCTGTCCCTCGGTGTCAAGGCTGTTGGTCTTGGCCGTCCTTTCATGTACTCCAACATCTACGGTGTTGAGGGTGTCAAGAAGGTCATCGACATCCTCAAGTACGAGGTCTCTGTCGATGCCGGTAACATTGGTGTCGGTGATCTTAAGAAGATTGACACCAGCTACGTCAAGTGGCAGTACAACAACTGGGGTATGTAAATGTTGCATAGCGCTGGACGTTGAGCATTGATACCTATATATACACACATCCTTTTTCAAGTGTTTATATTTTTATTCGTATAGAGAGCAAAGAACAAAGGTTCAAAACCTTTTCATGACCTAAATCTGATCAACCTTTGACGTGTATGAAGTGATAAAGTTGACACCTGCCTGTTTTGACTACGACTTATCAATGTTTCACGGGCGAAAGGAATATGAATATGTACAAGGGACATGGATCGCTGACAACTGGCAACCTTAACAAACCCGAGTATTGCATACATCAATTGGCTTTATCATTCGTCGAGAACAATCATGCGTCATGCAGACTCGGCTTTGAAACATGCAAGGCGTTCTCTGTTCTGCACCGCGATGGACTCTCCCGTCTTGGCGAGAACATAAGTATATTAAATATTAAATACAGTAAAGTATATCTCAGCGCACCTGGCTGGACTGTAGACATTTAGAGCATCAGAGCCCTATCAACGTTTGTCTAAGCAATCTTGCTCTTCCTGGACCGAGTTACCTGTGGTATAGCAAAATTGGGTTGAAGAGAGACATCCCGGCTCGGATCCGGCCCCTCCCGGGCTTAACCGGAGTGGAAGTCCGGGGACCAACGATATCCCCTGTTGCATCAACCACAACAAAAGTAAACATACTCTCAGCTGAGGTTATAAGATGTGCATCCTAGTCGTATATCCTCGCAGCTCCAATGTCTTGCAGATATTCATGTGCCGATGACCAATACTCATGAATCAGGTGGAACAAAAGGTCTCTCAGCTGTCGTGTTTTGCAGCTGCTCAACATGGATCATCCATACAGATATATCTTTCATGGGGCGTAATGTCCCTAGTTGCCGCTTGAAAAGTATGGCGGCTATACGAAGATGAGGGATAAATATCTAGGGTTCTCCTGAGATTTGTCCAACTGTTCGTTTCTTCGGATTGGATCTCGTCATTCGTCACTCGGCTCCTCTGCTCTTCTTGTCCATCTCGTGCATCGATCGTACAGTCATCAATCTTACTCTTTGTTCTCACAATGCCTGGATCTATCAAATCCGTCAAGCGTAAGCCGACTGCTAAGTCAGCTGTCAAACGCATTGGCCGGATGTTCAAGCGTACAAACAGCGAAGACCCTGAAATGACCGCCGCCATAGAAACTGGCTCTCCCAAAGTATCCTACGACGCCCCTCGGCCCTCGACGTCTTCTCGATTCTCAATAAGTTCGCGTTTTGGATCGAAAGATGATGCTGAAGCAACTCCTCGGGCGTCCAAGGACCAGTCTCGAATCTTTGCATCGTGGTTTGATCCTGCTACTCCCAAGAATGAGAAGGGCCCTGAAGTGATGGCTCCGCCATCTCTGGTTTCTGCTTACTCGGAGCCTGTACTCGACCATGGCAAGCCAATTGTGCCCATGATGCCGGACGAGTCAATCAAGCATCTTCAGGCTGAAGCTCTCCCCTCGCCTGCACAACAACGACCTATGAGAGAGTCAAGGACAACTGAAAGTCTGCTCGAGAGAAACATCGGACCCATGAGTGAACCGGAGAAGATCGACCAGAAGGCCCAGAAACAACCCCAACCGGAGGCCAGACCTTTGCCATCCTCTCCGAGACCAAAGGCTGTGGCATATGAGCCTGAGTCTCCCATCATTCCCGTATTGCCTGAAGAAAAGCCCAAACAGAAGCGGAATCCTACTCCCTTGGCTGAGCCAAAAGTATTTCCTCCGCCAGAACTCAAGCCCCAGCTTGAGTATTTGGCTCAGTCTAAGCCAGGTCCCGAGCCCAAGTCCAGTATTGAACCAGTCAAGCAGGAAAACGATCTTCACTCCCTTGCGAGATATACACCCAAGCCCTCAGTATCAACGGAACAAGCACCAAAACTAAGCCCTACCCCCTTGAAGAAATTCACAGTGCCGCGCCCTACCGTCGAAGATGAGCCAGAGCCCATTTCCAAGCCAGTCGAAGCACCGAAAGAGTACTCAAAGACGAAAGTCAGAAGCGAAACAAAGTCAGAACCCAAGAGAGAGCCGAAGGATATGTCCCCAAAGCCTCAACAGAAAGAAACCAAGCCAAAGACCGACCCTCCCACTAGACCGAAGAGAAATATCCCTCCTCCTATTATCCCTGAAGCCATCCGCAAGCACGCAGAGTTGAGAATTTCTCCCAAGCCCTCGCCGACAATCTCTTTCGCACCAAAGATCTCTCTGGTCTCAGCTCCAACGCCAGTTCAAGTTTCACCTCCAGCTCCCCTATCTGTCCCCAAAGCAGTCGCATATACTGCAAAACACTCATTCGCCCCCAGCATATCCTTCCAGCCTTCACGAACAGTCTATTTCCCCAGAATCGCACCAGCACCCAAGACAGCTCGTGCCCCTGCTACTGCACGAGCTCCAACCATAGCTTCGACGCCTCAAGTTGTTGTGTCGATGCTTACTCGGGCTGCTCCCAAGACTGCGCCACTCCCAAGTATTGCTTCGACCCCGGCGACTTCATGGGTAATGTCGTCTGCTTAATCATCTACTTGACACTGTCATCTTCAGAATGGTTACGAAGTTTGTTTCTTTTGTATTATGATATGATGAGTAGTTGGAATGCTTTGTTTGTTCAGTCATGATAAGTTCGGCCCAGAATGAATATTCCTTATTAGTTACAAACTTTACAGTGTTGAATGATATGACATGATGTCTTGGATGATCGCATCCCCGTTGCCGGGCCCCCTTAAAGGTCACACAATTGACATCTGTGATCATCCAGGCATATATTGACATGTGACCTTAACTTACACGGCTCAGCTTCTGTTTAAACCTCATCATATTCAAATCTACGATTGGCCTATCGCATCTGATGCCATCCTCAAAATGAAATTGATCGATTGAACGTATCCCTGAATTCTCACTGGTATGGGTCTATCCCTCCCAAAATCCTGACCCAAAAACGCCAGCTGTAACGAAATCTCAACAAAGAAAATATACATCTAGGCATACTCCAACGAATCACCTCCCCGACGCTCTCCAAACAAGTATGCTGCTTCGAGACAGAAGCGACCATGTCCTCGCTCCATACGCCTTTCGCTACCGTAGCAAATCAGAACTGCATCGACGATTCCGCTCAAGATACCTTCCACCGCGCCCATAACAGAGTATCCAATGAAACTTGCCATCATACCAACAACGTAGGCGTAAGCAGAACCTCGAACACCTGCTCCGTCTGGCATTTGGAAACGGAGCTGCTTGGCGGTAATCACCCATCCAGCAAAACCGAGACCAGTAGCCATAATGAGTCGGGTTGCTACAAGAAGCAGTTTGGCTAGTCGGTATGGTAAAAGGCCGTTAGGTTGTCCACGATTACGCAAAGCCCGAGGTGTCAGTGTTGTTGTTGGCACAGCCGGGGAAACAAGCTCCATCTGATCCAAGCCTCTAGCTGACGTTGCAAGATTCTGCGAGTGGATGGCAGAGTAAGTAATAGTTAACGGGTTCATCAGAGCAACAACAGGTGTAGGGATCCAGAAAGAGGCGATGTTTGTCACAGCAGCACCGAGCTTTCTAGGCAGGAAGATCAGTGGAGCTCGAATCAGTAGTGATAAGAGAGTCGATTCGCATAGACTGCCAAAAATTGTCGTCAGGGCATGGTTAAGAGCAGCCGAAACAATCTCTCGCGATGGTGTGGCAGGGGCGGCATTTCGATGGAAGTACCACTGAGATACAGTGGCAGCCGTGGTCGCACGATGAACAGCGTTGATGACCGAAACTGTCCACATATACAGTAAGATGAAACCAGCTCCAAGCCACCAACTTGATAGTTGAATCACGAAGCGAACGAGACGCTTGGAGAAATAACCACCCATAAAGACTCTGGTGAACATGGCAAGCCATGCCCAAGTCCACAGCACAATCAAGGCCAAGCATCCAAAACCAACGAACAGCAGCGCTGAATTTTGGGCCAGAATGCGGCTGGAAAATTGTAGGATCTCGATCGCCTGTTGGATAGCACGCCGTCCTTTTACCACGAGCCAAATCCAGAGTACACATGAAGCGGCGGGGACGATAGAGGCCCATCGCATGACTGAATCCTGGAAGCTAGTTCCGTGTGTACGACCCTTGAAGGAGGACACAAAGGAGAAGATTGAAAAGGAAAACATGATAACGGGCACCGCAACTAAGATGACGCTGACCAGAGGCCGTACAAAGGAGCGGAGAGCTGCTAACCAGATGAAAGATACAAACACGGCCACTACTGTATCGACTGCAAGCATGTGGAATGACTTTTGTAATGTCGTATAAATCGTATCGCCAACAGGGCTCTTCCGCGGCGATGTATGAAGCCATACCAGGAAAAATGTCGATAACATGCCGGCGAGAGCGATAAGGAAGATCCAGGCAAAGAAAGGGTCATGTCTGAATATTTCGCCTTCAATGTATTGAATAGTGGTTTGCACGCGCTCCTCTTGGGGAGGGGCGTCTCGTCGTATGCTCATATCGGTTTCTGTAGTAGAATCCCGCCTTGCCATAAAAGGCGTTCGTTCCGTATCCGTACCCTTAAATCGCTGAAATGCCGGAGGGCTACTATCTCGTGGAGTTTCCCCGCCTAGCAAGGAAGCTGGAGGGTCCTCGTCCGGGTCCTCTTGCGATTCGAGTCCAACATCGACCATCTTACCCTTAACATCTGTTCGATTGCTTGTTTGGTCTTCGCTCGAACGGGAGTCATCCTCAGCTTCTTCCAATACGGTATCTCTAGCCACACCAGGACGGTGGGTGCTTCTAGTGCCGTTCCAACTGCTTCGAATACCGCGGCGCATGCTCATATCTCGATAAGGATCCTCCTGGTTCAAGCTGTCTTCCATAGATCCCCGACTGTGAGCATCAGACTCGACACTATCGGCAAGTTTGCTCGCTGCTGCTACTCGTCTTGACCTTTGGAGGGCGAACATGTCGGCCCTTTCCCTCTCTTCCTCGTCATCCTCTTCTCGAAATTCGTCCAGGGTGCTGTGAAATAAAGGTGCATCTTGGGCGGCTGATATTCGCGATGCGAAGGCTAGCTGACCGAATCGAGAGCCAGCCCCGGTTTGTTGATATGGGTTCCCTCGACCTAAGAAAGACCTACTGCCCGGTCCATTACTTCTTCCCGTATCGCGCTGGTTCCGTGTAGGTCGTGATGACCAGTCTGATTGTCGTGGCGGGTTCTCGTTATTGTTGTCGGCCTGGCCAAAGTTGGATATCCTTGACTGCGACTGGGCCAGGAACCTTGATGCATCTAGAGATCAGGTCAGTACTGAAGAACGCTGCAGATAAATATCAAAAGACATACACTCCGAGAACATCTCGCTCTTTCGACTCCTTCCACCTCACGTGCGCGTAAGCTTGTAATTACCAGTCGGTTTTGTTCGTGTGAAATAAGTTTATTGACGTGACGTAAATACGATAACAGGCAGCCAACGACGCTCGTGGTGTAAGCTACACCGTATAGATGACGATTATTTGGTTTGTCGTATCGCGAGATATGGGGCGAGGGGAATAAAGGAAAGAGTTGAGGGGATAAGAAGTTGACGTTAATACGAAAGGTAAAAATCACGTCCGAGTTGCAGATGAATGAATGGCTGGGCTGGATTGGATGTCAAGGCTCGAGGTACCGTACTGTACAGTACGGTCATGAGGCAAGGCGGCAGATGGCAGATGAATGGGGCTTATCAGCCAGCGAATGAGTCGCTGACCGATTGCGTCCCGCAGGTGCAGTGCCTTGAGTGCCTAGGCAGATCCGCTGGAGGACCCTTGTTAGTGGAGGTCGTGTCCATCATTCAAGGGACAACCTTAGGTATCTAAACATTTTGGGCAGGCGGTCAATGACACTGAACTCTCCATACTCCACTAAAACCAACTTTTGGACCCAGACGCCACAAGGCAGCCGTACCCCAGTCAGGTCGTGGGGATGATGAGTTGAATGCGGAAGAGGCACACGACGTGACAAGTACTGACTGCTCTTAGAGACCGTCTAAGAGACCTTCACGTGAGGGAGAGAAATGCTGTTGATGAAAATGCACAGAATCACTCATGTCAAGAGGTAGCACCAAGCAATGACCTCCACTTCAGTTGACGGTATTCTCACTTGAATATCGTCTGCATTGCCACAAGTCTTGCAGTAATAGACTGATCGCCTACAACAAGTGATGTGATAAATACATTATAAAATGTCATGACTTCTCTTTTTTTCAAACTCTCTTGACTCGTAGCTTATCGAGCAGACCACTAGACTTTGCTTGGTCTTGTGACGCTTGAAGATCCCTTCCAACACTCACGCGGAAATGTTCCTTATCAACATTAAACAAAACCATGAATGACTCCCGAAACAAAGACCCCAGATCAAACGACTCATATCCATCCTAAACAAGATACCCTACAATACAAATACAGAGCGAGACAATAGCCATCAACTGATCAAAGTCCCATTAACGAAGATTGCAAGGGCCTTGTGCCTTATCGCTCCATGCCCCTTGCGTCACCGTCGCTAAGAAACCTCCTAATCCCCATTCGGAGGCGAGCTCCCAGGCACGGGTACACTTCTACTGATACGTTACGACTTGTATGAGTGCCTGAGAGATAATCTGACTGTGGAGTTGATCTTGTTGAGGTTTGACAGTTGTGTTGTACAAATTGCACAAGTCAGTCCAGTCCTGCGTACCTAGGTATTGAGTGGCCTGTGACAGCTCATAGCCCGTCCAGTCCAGTCCAGAACCTCAAAACCACAAAGTCGACTCGTCCTTCTTGTCCCTCCAACACCTGAATTCTCTTGCTCCGACTCTTTGGCATTACCTGCCATAACTACCTATCGTTTGGTTTCCAAGGCCTCCTTATCTCTTGTGAACATTGAGTCGCTTGAACTTTAAGTCTCGGCTTTTGCTTTGGTCCTTATTGGCGACTATTGCTATCCATCTTCATCCATCCCTGGTAGTCTAAGCTAGCCCACCTCGAACCACGTCGCAGATCAACCAACCAAGCTTGCGTCAACTCTAAAACTCTGCCACTTACAAAACCAGATCTTCATCTTCATTGCCAGTCGCACTTACAAAAAGTCAGCGTCACCAACTCAAAGATATCTCACACCCGATCTGTACCTCGGTTTTCACCTCGCACAACCCCAGAGGACAGCTTGCACGTGCTTGACTTGTCTTAGCTCGAACACACCAAACGAACCATCGAGTAGCTCGCGCTCTACCCTCAACACACTTTCGACTCTTACCTAGTCCCCATCGAAACCTCTTCAGCCTCTCCCCATGTCGTCCACACCTTGGGATTACATCGCCAAACTCGTCTGCATCGGCGACTCAGGATGCGGCAAGTCTAGTCTCACCATTCGTCTTTGCGAGGGTCGCTTTTCGCCCCATCACGACGTCACCATTGGTGTTGAATTCGGCTCTCGTATCGTCCCTGTCGGTCCTCCTCACTCAAAACCCGGTCCTCCTGCCTCTTCAGAAGACGAAGATAGAGATCAAGAGGCAGCGGATGGCCTTCCTGAACCACCTCGGGAAGCAGCCAACACGCCCCAGAAGCATATGAAGCTTAGTCTCTGGGACACAGCGGGGCAGGAAACGTACAAGTCTGTCACTCGGTCATACTTCCGCGGCGCAAGCGGCGCCTTACTCGTCTTCGATTTGTCCCGCAAGCAGACCTTTCAGCACGTCACCGACTGGCTCAACGATCTGCGGCAGATTGCCGAGCCCGATATCGTGGTTATCCTGGTTGGCAACAAGGCCGATTTGACGCAGCAAGAGGATAACAAGCGAGAGGTCACACGCGAGGAGGCAGAGGAGTGGGCCAAGCGCAATGGAGTCATGGAATACGTCGAGACGAGCGCCAAGAGCGGCGAAAATGTCGAAAAAGCTTTCATGCGCGTCGCCGAGAGGATATACAACAACATCCAGGCTGGCAAATATGATCTCAATGATAGAAGATCTGGCGTCAAGGGTGCAGGGGCCGGTGGAAACCGTCAGGTCAAGCTGGCAGGCGATGCCAACAAGTCATCAGGGGGTGGCTGTTGCTAAGAGCACACATTAAGGTAAATTGAAGAGGAGGAAGACACAAATCTACAGAAACACGACGTATCATGATACCCAGTCAGCCAGCAACGTCGTCATGTCAATATCGAACAAGTGTGCGAAAAGCTCAATATGGATTGTACCCAATAATGCATAATACATCGTCGGCCTTGGTTGGGCCACCTTGATTAGAACCCAGAAATGAAACTCATATTGCATTACCGACGCAAAATTCATTCCGTAACTAGTTGTCTCGTCTCTTCTGACTGTTTCGTCTTTTCTTTTCTTTTCTCCATGCTTCGCTCTGCCAAACGGCCCATGCGAATTGTCCTTTCCATAAGACCCCAAATTCTATATCCTCGCAGAATATTCCCGAAACCCGATTATTACAAAGACATCTACATGGTGATCCATGAGACATTCTGTCTAGATCACACACAATATGCAATCGAGAGAACAGCGATCGTCCAAATCAAAAGAATTGACCAATCCCTTAGTCAGTGACTCGCCAGTTGTCGAACCACTTCATGTACTTGTACTCCTTGTGGGGGCCGGTCATACCCCAACAGATAGGGATGAAGTAGATGTAAAGGCCGACGATGACGGTGTACAGAACGCCATAAACAATGGATTTGATGGTGTTGTTGCGGTTGCGTGTGAACCAATCAACAAGGAATCCGAAGTTGAGGATGGCGAAGTAAAGAGCAGGGTAGTAGTGGTGCACGTAGGTCACACGAGCCATGATAACAAAGGGAAGGTAGTGCAGGAACCAGCCAGCCAGAGGATACAAAGCTGCGTAGTGGATGTGGTCGATCTCGCCATCGGAGAGGTCGTTAACGCCTCGCTGCCATCGAAGGATGTACCAGACGATGACCAGACCGGCAATACCAAGAGAAGCGGTGGAGCCCCAGTAGATGAGAGGGTTGCCGAGAAGGAAGTACTTGACGATATCATCACCCCAACCGCACATGCGAAGACCAACGTGAAGGAAAGGCCACTGCCACCACTTGGAAGCAAGGTCATCCTGCTTATCGGGATCGGGAACCAGAGCGTTGTTAGATGTCATCATAGCGACGTTCAGGTGGACGAAGTCATGGAAGAAAGGAGACTTGTACACGCCAGCCTCAGCAGGAGGAACTGTCTATCATCAGTATTGCATTATGAAGGAGATTCTGACAAAAACTTACGCTTGTCGTTCCAGTGAGCCTCAACGTTCCAGTGGGTGTAAGTGTCGCGAGGATTGTTCTCCTTGGTGCAAGTAACCTCGATTTGCTTGAAACCCCATTGAGGCAGGTTCACGTTACCGGCTCGGAGGTAGCAACCAAGAACCTCATGCTTAAGACGGAAGGCAGTGGTGAGAGTGCGAATCTTGCTACGGTCACGAGAAGCAGAGTCGCGGATGACCTCAACCTTCCAGTGGTCCTTCTCGTCACCAACAGTCAGGTTACCGTAACTGGAAACCTCCTTGTGGCCTCGTGAGACAGGGGCAGCAATATCGTGAGAGTGTAGGTTGCGGCCGGTCTGAGCGTGGATGAGTCGGATAACAGAGTTGTCGCCAATGAATCGGAGATCGCCCTCGGGGTCGTAGTCCTCCTCTCGACGGTTAGGATAAAAGAACCAGTCGTTGTTGGTGTCCTTGTGGTGGTAGCAAGTAACCTGCTGCTGCTTAGATCCCTCAGGGTAGGTCTGGACGTGAGAGTGAAGAAGACCACCACCGTAGCCCATGTTCTTGATTGTGGCGCGAGAGCCAATTGCGATCTCCAGAGGGCTGTCCTTTCCGACCTGGGTACCCTTGAGGTTGGCTTGGAAGAGGGAGCTCATCTGGGCGTCACCAGGACCACTGCGGTCGAGGATGGCGAAATGAAGAGCGAAAGAGAGGAGGTAGATCAGGAAAGGAATGACGATGAGTCCGACGACGCGGGTGACGACATGAGCACCGAAGGTTGTCTAGGACATGTTAGCGATGAAAGCCAATTCGATGGACTGTGAGAGCACTTACAACAGGCATCTTGGTGTCGCCGAACTTTCGCCAGAGGTCCTCAACGGTGTAGAGACCGACGAGAGCAGTAACGAACAGACCGACAAGCTTGACACTACAGACACAACCAATGCTGATACCAGTCATGAAAAGCCAGAAGAACCACTCGGGCTCGAAGCTGCTGTGGCGCTGGTTGTGGAACTTGGACCAGCAGAAGACAGTGGCCACAGTACCGCACAGAAGCATAGAGTCGAGAAGGATGAACCGGCTGATGGTGGTGTACGAGTTCTCGCAGAGCACCATGAGAGTTACAAGCCAGACAGCAGGACGACGGAGCTTGAGCTCGCGAGCAGTGAAGTATGCCAGAGGAATGCAGAAAATACCGAAGGCCGCATTGAAGATACGCATGATGGTGTAGTTGACCTCCTCGGGATACTTCTCGCCAGACTTGAATTCGAAGGTTCCGTTGTAGCCAGCAAGGACTCCGGAGAGACCAACAAGCATCTTGCCGAGAGGAGGGTGCACATCGAAGTAGTACTCATGCTTGATATAGTAGGAACCGAACTTGCCAAAGCTGTAGAGAAGTTAGGGGCGTGTCTCGAGATGCATGGGAATCAATTCGACGTACTGAGCTTCATCCCAGGTGACAATGTTGCTGATACCAATCTTGTATAGTCGAGTGAAGATAGCCAAAAGTGTGGAGATCAGCGGGGCAATGACAACCTCCCATCGAGAGAGAGTTTCGAGGAACGAAGGCTCCTAAGTAATGGTCAGCATCTTTCAAGTGCAATTCGTCGGTAGTAAGGCGCGGTACCTTCTTGACGAGCTTCTTGTTGTCCTCGGGCTGAGGAGTCGGGGGCGTTGAGGTAGCCTGTCCAGCGACGGGACGCTGTCTGAGACCATCGCCCAGATCAGCGCCTGAGGCGACGGCAGCCTTGTCGGCGGCCATTGTTTATTCAATCGTATAATATATCGGCTCGATGTTGATGTCGCAGGGTTTGAAAGAAGGATGTAAGGTGCAAGCCAAAAGGGGTGAGGTTGGCGAAGCTGGGATAGAAAAAAGATTGGACGAGCTGTTGAGACTCAAGGGAGGACCACCAACTTCAACCAAAGAGCTGATGCGGGGAGAGGAATGCCTAATTGGCAAGGACCTGTGGTTAAGAAAAAGACAACTCAGATCGGAAAAAAGAATAAGATCCAGAGAGAAAAAGAAGACAAAAAATAAAGATCCCGAGCCAAAGGAACAGGCGTTTAATGGTGGTTCTAAGAATATTGCTACACGACACGAATCGATGTCCCCTGAAATGCCACATATGCTCTACTGACCGCGCTAAACAGCTGCTCCCGTACGTTCCAGTGGTGGCGCCAGCTCCGATCCAGTCGATAGCACCCCACTTCAGCCTAGCCCAAGCCCAGGCCTTCCAGCTCCCATGTCCGGTTTCGATAGTGGCGTTGCACCCAATGTTTTAGGGGCAATCACCAGCAAGGATCCTCTCAGTAGAAAGTGGCATCTGCTGTCAGCTCCCCAAACATCCAGCGACATGTATGCTTTGTGAGCACGAATTTTCATTAACAAACGAGGTCGCGTGGCCCAATGGCAAGGCGTCTGACTACGAATCAGAAGATTCTGGGTTCGATCCCCAGCGTGATCATTCTTTTTTGCGATTTTTAGTAAATATCTTTCTTGTCTCGAATTATTTATTGTTTCAGGTTCGCCAATGGTTCCACTTGAGCAGTTGTTGTTCTCCAAGACTGTCGTGAGCCACCATCGTGTAGGTACAGTAAGAAGAACACAACTGAACATCTTAACTACTGGTGGCCAAGTCTACTTGGCTGATACATATTTGGCAATCACATGTCTTAGTTACTCCAAGTTATCAGCTCTGAAAGCAATTGTGCAAGACATTCTCTACGGGCGATTATCCGATGACGTTTCGTATATTGTTTGCGTACCTGACTATCCATGGCAGAGACATGCCGATGTCTGAAAGCCATAGAGACCCACGGTTCGGCATCTAAACCGGATTGCCGGGTTCATGACGCTTCCCAGAGCCTCTTACTGTACGAATATTTTCAGCTTATCACTTATGTACCACAGCGGTTGAGCGATAACATTTTGAATTGAATTGTGAAAGGCCGACAAAGTTTGCGAATAATTCTTGATTCAGTGACCAACCGTGTGAGTTCAACTCAATATAAGAAACATCTACACCCAAGATCTCGGCAAGGTATAAATAGTCTAGACCCTGAGCACGACTACGCCGTACTCGTGCAGATGGTCCAAGTGATCCAAGTGATCCAATCTTGACCGCCGATTTCAACAGAGATTCTCATTTTACGTTTCTTTTTCGCTGTTGCCAATTTTGGCGCCATCGTCCCCTTTTTCGTGCTTTGTATCGTTCAGTTTCCCCACCAATGTCCCTCTATATCCGAATCCTCGTCTGATTCAGGTCGCGACAACATGCGGTTTGGGTTGTTCCCGTCATCGGAGCTAGAGGTTTGGTGGTACTTCTCTGCAACCAATATATTGAATAAATCGATGAAATGTGATCATCATTGATCCTACTGTTATCATCTAGCCATTCACAGAACTTCACTTCTAAGTTAATTGTAAACCGTCAGTCGCTGAAGCGCAGTCACATGCTAAAAGCGATCCCCTTTCCCTCCAACTTTCGCCTCCCCCTTCTCAGCATCGCATCCATCCAATCCACCATCAGCCGCCAACCTGACCTACCTATGCTCCGCTGTTCGGGAACCTCCAACTCCACTGCATCAATGTCACTGGCGACCAAATCATCTTATGTCATCCACTCAAGTCGTGTTCAAAGCTCGAGCTAGACCAGAGACGCCGTAGAGACTCTGCTTTCCCCAGTCTCTCGTCATTCCGAGGCGTTAGACCCGTACCATTACTCCTCTTTAACCTGGATATTACGGCAACTTACTCTCCTTTGACATTATCAGATTACCTATCCTCCTGTCCTTCTCACCCTCCATTTCCTCTGTTGGGCTGTATCGACTTCGGCGCAAGCATCAATACGTCTACTCTAGTGCGCCCGTACAGTATCGTTATTGGCACCTTGGATCGCCGCTCAGGCCCTCCCCTCCTCTCGACTTAACCTTTTAAGCTTCCGCTGCTACCTACCTACCTACCTACTTGATGTCTTCTCTCGTCTCCGACTTTCTCATTAATCCGGTCCTGCGTCAAGCTCGTCGATTCTCCGAAATCTCACGATCTACCTTCATTGGCGATGGAGGCGATTCGACCGAACATGCCGACGCAGTAAGCGATTATAGTCACGCCGATAGTCCTGTGTCTTCGCCTGTATCTGCACCCGTACCTGAACCGGCACCTGCGCCGATCGTCGATTCTCCCCTCACTCGACCCCTCAGCGTCTCGACCTTGGAAACAAGAGTCGAGGAACCCGAACCGTTACCAATCATGTCTCAAGACTCACCTCCTCGCGATCATATCGGCATAGCTTTGAGCCCACTCGGCTCCCGTCGAATTCCGGAAGATGATGGCATGCGGGAGCTGCGATCTCGTATACATATAATCAATAATAAGGATATACCTCAATCTGACAAGGCGCGGTTAATCCACGATGCTCTATTGGAAGGCTACAAGTCCTCAAAGACCGTCCCGCTTGTCAATAAGATCCTGGCGAATGGCGACAACTTGGATCAACCACTTTCACAGTCTCCGTCGTCACCAGCGTCACACCCATTGAAGTTCTGGCAGAACCAAACCGAAGAGACATTCACCTTGAGCGAGGAGGATAAAACCCCGACATTTGTACCAGCGAAACCGCCGAAGCGACATGGAAGTGAAACCCCGGTGGAACCATACGACTTGCTACCAGAAACGGAACAGCCTCTCGGATGCCAGCACTATGAACGAAACGTTAAGCTTCAATGCTTTACCTGTAAGAAATGGTATACGTGCCGTTTCTGTCACGACGCAAACGAAGATCATAACCTCATCCGCACGGAGACTAAGAACATGCTCTGCATGCTCTGTACAACACCACAGAAGGCTTCGGATATGTGCATCAACTGCGGAGAATTATCCGCTTACTATTATTGTGATATATGCCACTTGTGGGAAAACCGTCAGAGTAGACCCGTTTACCATTGTAATGACTGTGGTATTTGCCGTCGAGGCCTAGGTCTCGGCAAGGACTTTTTCCACTGCAAGGTGAGAAAGCCGCTGTTGCTTCACGATATCGATCGCTAACTTGCACTAGACTTGCCGTGCATGTATCTCCACCTCGATTGAGGGCTCTCATAAGTGCATTGAAAGGTCGACAGAATGCGATTGTCCTATTTGCGGCGAGTACCTCTTTACATCTCCGCGACCGGTAGTCTTCATGGCCTGTGGTCATAGTATTCATAGGAGATGCTATGAACAGCACATGAAAGTATCGTACAAATGTCCGATTTGCAACAAGAGTCTCACAAATATGGAAAGCCAATTCCGGAATCTGGACGTTGCCATCCAGGCCCAGCCGATGCCGCCTGAATTCCGGGATACTACCGCTGTTATATTGTGCAATGACTGTTCTGGAAGGAGCACAGTTCGGTACCACTGGTTGGGTCTGAAATGTTCCATATGTCGGTCGTATAATACTGTGGAACTGAACATTATCGGGGGCGACCGGTCAACAGCACAACCGTCTTTGAATGGCGAGGGGCAGCCTGTAGTGGAAGCAGGACGAGAACCTTCTGGCTCGATTAGTGGCAACCGAGGAGCAGTGGCTGTAGGGAATAGACGAAGGCACTCATCCCATGCCGCTGAAACTCAATTCCGTGCGCCCGACAGAGTCGCAAGATCAGTATCACCTGGCAATCTGGGCTTCGATTCAATCATGTCACATCTGCCACCGGACGAAGAAGATGAGGATGATATCCTAGGGCTTTGGCGAAGCCGGAACCGTGGCAACGCGTCGGACCATGATGAAGACTCTGAGTTGGAAGATCTCAGTGATGCGCTATCAGATATTGAAGATGATGACGAGGACGAAGATGATGACAACGATATTGTTCTTTTTGGACATCGATGAGTGGTTCTTTATACCACAGCCTGCTGCTGTCATACTACTTTACAATCAGACTGGCTGAATTTCTGCAAGGCGTTTTGGGGGAATGGGTGCATGATTGGGCGACGGACCCCGGATGGAGACTGTTTGATTACATGCTTATGATGGGACATGGTATAGGCGGTTTGCATCTTGGGCGCTCAGTATTCTTCTTTGATCTTGGTGTTTCGAAATTGGGACCAAACGAATAGCATGACTTTTTGTATAAGTGAACAAGGATAAATCAGACTCTATTCAGACCAAATTCGCGATCTGTACTTATAAGGTGAAATGCAGTTTCCCGTGAACGCCTACCATAACCATATTTCCATAAATGCCACGTCCAATCATCATTGAATCTGGTTTGACTGTCTATTTTTCGCATCAGCGTCTTCGGGCTGCAGCGGCAGGTTGTTCCACCCGCTGTCCCTCCTGTCTAAGTTCCTTGATAACTTGCTATATGTGCAAAGCACTCATCAGCACGGCTTAAACTCTCTCAAACATGATCATGACATACCGCCAAAGCCTCTGGGTTAACGCCGCGCTCGATCATAGAGATACAGATAGATAGAGTGCGACGATCAAGATGGCAGTTCTGCAGTGGTACAAGTTAGCGGTCTAATCAAAACATGAGTTGTATCGCAGCAGGCTTTCATACAAGAATTGTAGATATCTCATGGAGGATATCCACGGCCTGTTGGGCGGCAGCGTGTTTGTCTGGTTCGGGCATGTTGGCGATTGATGTGAGTTGGGTTTGATATGGAGTGTGAAAGAGAGGGAAGTGTAGGTGGAGATTTACAAGTTACAGCGGGCAGACGATCATGGCGGGGGAGACGCGGAACGCGATTTGGCTTGGGTTGGCATTCATATCATGAAACTGAAACAACCTGATTGCAAAAAAAGTGATTATGAACAAACCCAAGTAACTTTCAGCTGCTGAAAGCGTCACATAGGTAGACATGCTATTGTTCAAGAGTTCCAACAGATTCACGAACTCATTGGGGCTCTGTTCATCAATTAAGGTATACAACAGTATTGGATTAGATCCATATCAGAGAAATTGTCCTTAGAGGCTTAGGCCGCCAAAATAAAATAGTCTGGTTAATGGTCCGAACATCTCCAATGCAGATCAATAATTCACAAGCTCAAGATATAAACATCATGGCTAATTGAGTATGTTATAAACAAAACAGTGGACTTCGTATACAGGTATAATATCGTTTGAATCGCACATAAGGTCATAACTGCATAATTCAATCAACCAACTCTTCAAGACTTTATAGCCTCCACAAACAATTCTCTCATCCCCTTGAGCAAAACCACCAACTCTCTCGATTCATTGAGCTTATCAAGAACCTTTTCAACCTTTTCTCTCTCAAGCTTGGGCCGGCAATGCTTTACATCGTAGTCGCGTGAGCTCGTCACCAGCTCAAACCAAGCCTCGCGCTCCCAATCTTTCTCGTCAATATGTGTGTACACAAACTTGAGCCGATCGTCGTGACCAGCCCCCTCGATCTTAAGACATAGGTTGGTGATCCAAAAGTCCAGCTCGGGTACGTTGAAGCGTGATTGAGCTTGTTGCTGCTGAGCGTACTCGCGCTGAGCGGAAAGTCGGGCTTCGATCTCGGCCTGGGTCTGAGCAATTTCTGCCTTGAGGCTTTCCCGAGTAGAAAGGTGGTTGTCGCGTTGGGAGGCGAGAGAGTTGATAGCAGTCTCCATCTCGCGGGTCTCGGCCTCTTCCTTTTCGATTGTCTGCTGGTGCGTTGAAGTCTTGGCCTGGATAATTTCGATGTCTCGCTTCTTCATCCGTTGGTCCTCTGTACCAAGGTTAGCAGACATTCAATGCGCTTCTAGGAATTAAGTTATCGTACCTTGGAGCTCAGCAACGTTCATGCGGAATTGGTTGCGCTCATCGAGAACCCGCTTACGACCTTCTTCAATGAAGGCATCGAACCGAGCGGTGAACTTTGCCATGCGATCGCGCAGATCATCGAAGCCAAAGTTGATATTGGGCAATTGGTTTGCGACAGAGGGGCCAACAGGTGCCATGCTCTGTCGCATACTAGCGGAAAAGGAGGATTGGAAGTCGGTGGCCATCGCGAACAGCTTAGATACCAGAAGAGTTGTCGATAGTTTAAGCAAAATGTTATTCGGCTTGCAATTTGTTGTCGCGAAAAGAGTGTGAGTGGTCTTGATCTTGGTCATGCGAATCGGGCATTAATCTAACAATGCATGTGGATGTATTTACACCATTAGATTGCGTTGCTCGGTCGACTATCCAGGTGTGGCGCATGACGCTTGCACCGCCACGTGGGGCTGTCGAAAGCTTCAATCCGTCCAATCCGTCTTGTATCGCGTAACATGCATAGAACAAAGCCTTTACAGAAATTTACTTTACTCACCGCTACAGCTTTCATATTAATGGTTTGCTGTCTGCGCTCACGTTACTCTCATTCTATCCCCACAAGTGACCTAGGATGCCTTTTTAGTGCTCCAAATACAAACAGTTCCCGCTCGAGACTCTCTTGCGCCTGCACCTGCACCAGCCCATCTCGCGATGAAGAAAGAAATATCGACCAAATTTTTATTACACTGGAAATCGATAGTCGGACCAAATGGTTGAGGTTGAGAAAAGGAAATTCTTCACGGACCAAACACACGGTCACGTAGGGAAACTTACTTACTTACCAGCAAAAGATGCGACAACCCAAGTTGGCGCTCTGCACACCAGTCGCATAACGTCTGAAGGTGAGTTTCGGAACATTTACTTGCGCGCATCGTAGTATTGACCCAAGTTTCTTCAGCGCCGTACTTTAAAGTCATTGGGTCTTCAGCAGAGCTCTATCCGCCTTCAAAAAGTCCATCCCCAGAAATCTCTTCAAATCTTTGGCAGGAACGAAGAATTCAGAAGCGATGGCTTCTTCAGGCTCACCCCGAAGCCTTCATGGGCAACTCTGCTATTTCTGGACTATTGGAAGAGAATATGGTTCGCTATTCCAAAGTTGAAGGAGAGTTGAGTGACCGACCTCTGCTTTCTATCGGTCAAATGACAAATATAGCCGATCATTGGATGGTTTCGGGAACGCCAATGCTCGCGGCTGCTACAGGAGAATCAGGAGAACTGCTAAGACTAGCCCGCATTGATGAATCAAAATGGCAATGGGAAGCTGACAAACACACGACTCTTACGTCCTCTGTAATTGACCCTGATGATCCTGAGGAAGAGGCTATCTGGAGTAGCGATGGCCTGCCAATTTCTCAAGTCAAATTCGCAACCAGCTTATCGCGATACGAAGCTGTCCGTTGGCTCATCGTTCAAAAGCAGACTTCAACCACGATCCTTAACCCAGAGTACCACAAAGTCCCAGTAGCGCAGTCTTCTATTGCCAACTTCAACACTGAGCAACCTCGACTATCTCGAATTAATCCTAACCCTATTCTGATCATTCCACATAAGATGACCGGCGGCAACGCCCAGATGGATGTTGCCTTTAACCCAAACGCAAAAGGACAATCACCACAAATTGCCATCATCGATGAGTGCGGATATTGGTCCATATGGGACACCTTTGGAGGCAGAGCGAGAACGCGACTGTCATCTTCGAAACTCGGGCATATCTCAGATGGGTTGTTGAACGAGATTCCCCCCACATCGGAGCACAAGGCTGCAAAGCACGGGATTCTGTTTGTTGGCACTGCCAAGGTGGACAGTTTCTGGGAGGACGAATCGCAGAACGACGAAAATCCTGAAGGCCTAGCAAAGCGTGCAAGTCATTTGTTGATCTGGAATAGGGGAAAATGTCAAGTTCTTGATCTTGAATCGCATATGGCTTTACCTCAGCTGCCACTCTTCGTTCTTCCAAAGAAACCTGACGCGATTCTTGACATCAGGGTCAGTCCCGCCAACCAGAACCACATCTTTGTCTTGACTATGCGGACTCTTCACTGGATCGATTTGTTTCCAAAGGGAGAAGACGACGATGAACCATCAAAACCCGTCATCTTGATTTCCTCTCCCCGGTTATTGGATAGTGAGGCACTGCGCATGACGACTTGCTTGACTTCAGAAGGGGGGCAACAAGCTGTCATGGTGTTCGTCTTTTCTCCGACACGCAAACAGATTCAGACATACTGGTTCGGGTTTTCAAAACAGACCGGTCTTCCTTACTGGCACCGGGACGTTCTAAGCATACCTGATGAGAACAATACCTTCAAGGGTGCATTCCAGTCATTAGAATTTCACCCTGTCAGCCTCGCCCAGGACGGGCAGCCCTCGCCTGGTCTAGGCGGTGATTATTACCGGGCAGGTGTTCAGTTCTATCAAGGAAGCATTCTCAGTAAGGACCTTGGCGTGCAATACTGCATTTGCGGTTCGGTCAAAGATCGCGGCATACAATTGAAGCTACCAACTGAACTTGCTGTACGGTCCAAGACATCCCAAGCTCAGCGGTGGAAGAAGAGGCGCAGGAATTTTCTTCGATATATGGACAACGCCTTCGTACTTCCAGATGGTGTAGCTAATAATATCCATGAAGTTGTCAAGCGTCCTGATCGATCTACCAAACCCGCCAACAGATCTGCAGCCTTCGGTCCCATACGCCTTAAACTTGATCTACTGTGTCGCTCTCTTCAGAAATCTCTTGTTGCAGTCTCGCAAAGCATTCATGATATACCTCCTGCCCTACTCTTTGCTATACAGGAGAACATCACGGAGGGCACGAATGAAGGAAGACTTCCCCTCAAGACCTGGAAAGAGATTGGTGACGAAATGGGCTCAATGGAGCTGGTCACTAACGAAGATGCGGAACAACCAGATATACTTGACTTGTTTTTAGGCGACGATGGGCAAACGGTGGTAACGCAGCTAGGAAGACAAACTTCGGAAGAGTGGATTCAGGAACTTGTCAGTTTATCACATCTCAATCAAACATATGTGGATCTCTGGCTTGATCCCTTGGAAGGAAGATTGCTTGACGGAGAGGAGGAGTTAAGGAGAGGCTGGATAGCAGACTTGGCCAAAGATATGTTTCTGGCAACTGCTGGAGTTATGGTTCAGGACACGCCGCTGTTAGGCCCGGCAAGACAGGGAGGAGACGAACGAAACCAGCCCGCTCAGTCAAGTGCAATGCGAGTTCAGTCATCCCAGTCGTCACATGGTGGGATTCCTTCCTCGCCTCTCAGCACGACATCGAATACCACCAGCGACGACGCGATTAGGCGGCTGCAGCTCCTCGCACCTTCGTTGCGACTGGATAAGATGGAATCAGTCAAACAATCAAGTGTGCTAGCACACTGGCCGACCGAACGTGGTATGAGCACAGATGATTACATTTCTAGCGTTGCTATTGCCAGCGATAAGAAGTTTGACGATGCGAGATCGCGTTTGCGCAGGATAGAAAGCAAGCGCAAAGCACATGCAGAAAAGTACAAGCTGCCCTCAGCTATGCGACAAAGCGGTGTTTCTACCCCCAAGAGCAAACAGTCGCAGTCACAAATCCGGACAGGAGGACTTGGCGGACCACCACGGTCATCCCAGATGCTTCCCCAAAGAGAAGACCCTACAGAGCTTCCTCCCATGCCTGCTGCACCAACGCCTGCACAATTCATGTCAAGTCAACAGGGAGCTCCCAGCTCATCTCAGAGCCAAGGAATCTTTGGGCCTTCAATTGCCATGAGTCAGCCTGTATCAGGCATCTTTGGGGATAGGAAGAAGAATAAGAAACCTAAGAGGAAGAGCGGATTCAGATAAACGAAACAACCCATAATGAGCCTTCAATTAATATTAATTAATCAATCATTAAATTGACTAGGACTTGATTATTATGGTTGACTTTGTACTGTGCAACTTGAGACTGCTGTTTTGTTCATGATACCTATCCCGGATCCAATGGCTGTGTCAGGAGGGACCCAGTGCTACAACGTCATTTTATTCGCTATTAGGCAGTTTCACTTGACTTACAACCAACATCGACCCAACCTCAACCACAAACAATACAAAGTCTTTATAACACAGCTTTGAGTCTCTCATCTTAGACGAACGCGAACTTGATAACATCTCGAACAACTACACATCATGTCTCACTGCCATGATGAACACTCCGGCCATGGCCACGACCACCATGAGCATGACCACTCAGACGACATCACTCCAGCCGTACAATTCTCGCTCTACAGTCAAATCAACTTTGATCACATCGTGACTCTGAACGAAGCCCCTCGCGACGTTGGACAGCAAATCGTCAAGAAAACCTGGCAGGAAAGACTGAGCACTGAGCCTGAGCTGGCGAGCGATGTTGATGAGCAGCTTCTCATGACAGTGCCGTAAGTACAGCCTGTTCACTTCAAACTTCATTTGATACTGACTTATACCAGATTTACTGCTCAGATCAAGCTTCACTCTATTCTTATCCGTACATCCAACTCCGCCTCGGCGCCCAAAACTCTGCATCTATTCATCAACCGTGATGACCTCGACTTTGCCGCTGCTGAGGAGTCAGACCCCGTGCAAACCCTCGAGCTCTCTCAAACAAGCGATCTCCAAGAGATTCCTGTTAAGCGGGCACTGTTCGGCAAAGTGCAGCAGCTGGTTCTTTTCTTTGCTGACAACTTTGGAGATGGCGACGAGGATGTAACTCGCATTTCTTACATTGGCTTCAAGGGCGAGTGGACACAGCTCGGAAGAGCGCCTGCCAATATTATCTACGAAGCCGCTGCTAACCCAGGAGACCATAAACTCAAGGGCACGAGTGTGAATCAGATGGGCAGCGGAATTGGAGGCAGAGGACCTGGAGCGTAGAGAGCAAAGATGAAGCACAATACTCAAAGTTACAAGACGTCGCAGAGATCTCTCCGTTAATAGAAATATTAAAATATTAAGATTCCCTCTGTAAAGAATTGTTATCCCATGTATGAAATTACTTGATCTTCTTTGAGTCGTCGTTCTCATCTACTCCATTATAGTGCTCAATGGTGCTAGCCGGGAATTCTCCGGGCCTTGCAAAAGATCTCCAGTATCTCAACCTCGCCCAAAATATTTCACCACTATCAACCGATCCAAAGCCATCCGATCGGCCACCTCAATTCGTAACCCACGGCGGCATCAATTCCCTTTCGGCCCTCGTCGACCTCGCCGCCAGAAAAAAAATGTCTCTCCGACTGCCAATTCGATTGGCTCTCCCCCGGCCATGCGCCGTGGCCGCCCGCCCTCTCCTCCTCCCACTCACAGCCACCCGTGGTGTAAAGAATGGATGGTCCACGGCCCCTCCTCGCAACAAGCATAAGCGATTCAACCAGCCTTCTTCAGGTCTTCCTGCTCTTACGACCGGTCCCGCTGCTGCTCTTAAGCGAAGAGAAAACACCACACCTCTACGATCTGGCGTCCTCGCTGTGAAGAAGGGCATGACAAGCATGTTCGTTGGAAAGACCCGTGTGCCTTGCACAGTGCTGCAGCTCGATCAGGTTCAGGTCGTCGCCAACAAGACTCGAGAGAAGAACGGATACTGGGCTGTGCAGATTGGTGCGGGTTCTCGTGATGGACGAAACGTTACCAGCCCGCAGCTGGGTTACTACGAGGCCAAGGGCATTGCACCTAAGGCTGATCTCGCCGAATTTAAGGTAAAAAACCAGGATGGTCTTCTGCCCGTTGGTGTTCAAATTCTTCCCGATTGGTTCAAGAAGGGCCAGTACGTCGATGTCAAGGGCCGATCACGAGGTATGGGTTTCGCTGGTGGTATGAAGCGCCACGGCTTCTCCGGTCAGGAAGCCTCCCACGGTAACTCCAAGAACCACCGAACTATCGGTACAACAGGTCCCTCGCAGGGCAGTGGTAGTCGAGTCATGCCAGGCAAGAAGATGCCTGGTCGCATGGGTAACGAGTTCGTGACAGTGCAGAACCTCAAGGTCATGATGGTGGATAACGAATTGGGAATTGTGTTGGTTGGCGGTCCCATTGCTGGTCCTAAGGGTCGTGTCGTCCGTCTCCAGGACGCTAAGAAGCGAAAGGCCCCTCCTCAACCTCATCGTGAGGCTGCTCTCAAGACCCTACATGAGCGAAACCCTGACCACGAGGCGAAGCTTCAGGCGGCACGGGAGAAGCATCTCCAATTGAAGAACGAGAGAGAAGAAGCACAGCTAAGAGACCAATGATTGTACTGAGGAATGTATGAGACGTTTTGTACTACGTATGACAAAAGGGGAGAGATCGTAAGCGGGTTTTTTGTATTATACACACAGCTTCTACTACTGTACAGATTCGACTACAACCGGAGTACCCAGGGTTATCAAATTTATTTTTACAATGATGCTCTCTTCCCGTAATCTTTTTTTTATCTCCACCATGCTTCACTTGTACTCTACTTGCTTTCGGAATCCTCTTGTGGGAGCATCCTCCTCCAGCGGAGGCAAGTCCTCTCCACCACCAATAAGCGCCTTGAAAGGATCGCCGTTATCCAGAAGATCCAGCCTCGTGCCGTCCTCCATGGTGAGACTCCACTCTGTAGTAGAGAAGAAACCCTTGCTAGTAGGTCTGTTGCTGGCGAAGCGCATAACACCCTCGCCCTTTGTGCCACGCACAGAGAACCAGATATCAATGCGGCCGTGCAATTGATTCATCTCTCCATGGATCCAAGGAATCTGGTGTCGGAAGTAGATCTCGTCTCCGAGAAGCGCACGGGCTTCGGGGTTGGTCCGTAGGGCATAGAGTGTCGAAGAGACGACCGGTGATGACATCTTTTGGTAGTTGAAGATGGCGACGGACGAAGCGGCCACGATAATGAGGAAGATGGGGAATGTGCGGCGCCAGCGGAATGTCACATCAGCAATATCTACCAGAGTTAATCAGTACGAGTTATTGGCTCATTGGTACATCAATTGCCCTGACCTGGAAGCTCTCTGTCCGCCCTCCTCGACATCATGGGCCCATCGCCAGGCTTAGGCGCGGGAGTTAACCATCTCCTTTGAGCAGGTCTCAATGTGACAGTCCTGGTCTTGAGGGCAGCCGCAAGTCTCCTTCGGAAGATCCGAGGCAGCGCTAGTTTTTGCGACATGTTGATTTGGCTGTGGGCTGATTTCTGGTGATCAATCAATCGTTGTGGTGGTTAATCAGCTGAGGCTCAACTCAAATGAAGTGGCATCGGCCGAATTTTGCTGCCGGTCGCCGACCAACGTTCTCAAGAGAGAAGGTGGGGCAAGGTCGTCGTCTTGTGGCGTCATAAGACTGAGCCTCACTTTGAACCCGTGGACTTTGTGTCCTTGTGACAACGACGTCTTACATCGCACCCTGTGTCGTGTCGACGGCATCTCAATTTCTCTCTTATCAAATTATATTCATATGGCTGTGTGAGACGCCTTATAGCCGCAACTACCACCATGCCGAATTATCAGGGTACAACCGCCCGTTTGAGGCGTACATTCCACTACCCCGAGGAGGACTCAACCGACTCACAGCCAGAGGCTCTGGATGAAGAAGGTATGTCGCTAAGCCTTAATGAAAATGAAGAGAACCTAACATATAATCTCCAGAACAAGAAGACTACATCAACCAGCTGGCTGCTGAGAATGCTGCCCGTGATATCCAGTTCCGTCGCTTCCTCCTGGCCATTCCCCTTCTCGCAACTATCCCCTACCTCCCAGCTCTCATAAACCCCCCTACAGCACTTCTTGCTCTCCTCAGCTTAACGTCTCTGTGTTCAACGGCATACTTGCTACACCATCAACCGCCCTCATCCTCGGGAATTCCTTTCCTTGATACCTGGGCACGGCCCAAGACGCCGCGACCCACACGCCCACCGTCACTGTCGACGAGGGACTCTTCAGGTGTATTTGATGACGACGATGGGGATGAGACAGACGATGTGCATTATGCGCCTCGCGGGCGACCACGGCAGCGCAGGAGTTCCTTCAGCTACATCGAAACGCGGTCGCCCCTCGAAACTTACCTACCTTTTCTGAACCTAGGTCTGGGTGTTGTTTTGATTTTGATGGCTTGGGCAATTGGCAGAACAAAAAGTGAAGCTGTCTGGCCTGGAATGGGGTACTTGCCATTAGTAGTCTATGCGATTATTCTGGTTTCAAAGATGGTTATGGGCAGTGTCGACCCTGAGAAAGAGTTGTCGTCGCTCAAATATGACTACAAGGGCGCTTAACGCTCTTTTATTAATTATACTCGTTGGAAGACGCAAATACATAGCTACCAGAGTAGATCTATCTAATCAATGCAATCCTTAACTTTGCTTCCTCTTTTCTATTCAAACCGGGCCATTGCAGTCGTTACGCGGGCATGTCTCATTATAAACCCATCTACATGTCTATCGAATCATTGAAGCGCAGAATACCATGGCTCTTCAAAACTCCATCAACGCCCTTAGGCGGCCGTGGGAAAGGGTCTATCATAGGGCTCGCGTTAGGTGAGTCGGACGACTTGTCTGTCACCAATGCCAGTCCATGAGACTTGATAGCATCCACAAGGGCCGGCACCATATCCTGTTGTTGGTCAGTATCGGCTCAAATATCAAGCAAGAATTTAGTGGAATTATACATACCAATAGTGGGGAATAGCATATTAATCCCATGAAGTTGTTGCTCTGGGCAATTCTTACGACCTCCTTGATAGAAGCACTTCGTCTTCCACTGCTCAAGGCTGCATCGTTGACTCCTGAGGACTCCTCTCGTCCGAGATCGTTGCATAGAAAGACAGGGAAGTTAGGCTGTTTCCAGTTCAACGCTGTACATAGCCGAGGGCTATAACTGCTAAAAACAATCGATCGCACAACGTCAGGGGACTGCGCACGTTGTGTACGAGCATGCTCAAATACAATGTTGAGGATGGAATCGACGAAGACGTTGACGTCCAATGCAGGGCCCAAGGAGAAAGCCTTTTCTTCTTCCGGTGTAGGATACAAAACCTGGAGGTTGACATGCATACCAGGGTTGAGAAGTGCGAGTGCTTCTTGCAGGGTCACACCAGCGGTGGCAAGAATATGGTAGACCTCAGCGATGCTCTCACTTGATTTGTTTATCAAACTGGGGAGATCTGCTCGGCTGTTGCTTCTGATAGTCATAGAACCGAATTGCTCCAGTGTCAGTCGACAGACAGGAATGTCAAGGCCAGCACATGTTATTGTCCATCGAGGCCAGAGCACAGGAACCCCGTCACTCGTGTATTGAACAAAAAGTCGTACATAGTCTCCAGAAAGGCTTGAGCCGGTGACGATGGCGCTTGTCGGTTGGTTAAATTGACTTGTTGCTTTCCAGTAAGTCTCAAAGTCGGTGATCTCCAGGGGTTTGCCCTGGAAAGGCTTGATAACCTGGACAGTAAAGCTGATTTGCCCAATGGCGCGAAGGCGAGGGTCAAAAAGAGGTAGGCAGCACACCGAGGTGCCTTGCAGTCCTTTGAAAATGCTTGACAAAGCAACTGTCTTAGCAATCACCTTCGCACCATAAGTGGGGAATACGTCGATGTCCAAACTGAAAGTATCCAAGTTATCGACCTGGAAGGAAACGATACGTGTATCTTCTTGGAAAGGCAGGATGATGTTCTTGGGTATGAGATCCGAAACTTTGGAAGAAATGGTAAGGCGAGCGGCAGGGTACTTGCCGTCCTGGAAGAAAACAAGAGGTTGCTCGTCCACATCTCCAAACGAGATTTGAACGACCGTCTTGGTATCAAGGAAATTGTGGCCATATCTGCGTAATGGTATGATTGGAGGAGGAAGCTCGAGCTCGGGGATCGCATCGGGGTCAAGCGACATGGGCAGTGGTGCAGTGCTTGAATCCATAGGGCCCAGGGCAGGCTGCACCATGAAGGGGCTGGCTCGAGGTCGTGTGTTAAAGGGGGTCAGCAGCTTCATACATGCAAGATGCCCCTCCCATGCCGCATAGTACATCGCAGGAAGATCCTTTTCATCCACAATGCTAGCGTCGACCCCAACCTTGAGTAGTGCCTGGAGGCAGTCGACGTTGCCTTCGCTTGCAGAATGAACGAGAGGTGTCCATCCATAGAGCTTGTCGATTTGGTCTAGGTCAGCGCCAAACTGTTTGAGTAGAAGCAGCAGCTCTGATGTCTGACCTGCTCTTGCTACAAGATGCTGGGGGTATAGTCCTTCCGCATCGGGCAAAATCTTGGCCCCGTGCTTCAGGAGCATCTCGACAACAGCAACTGAGCCATGTTCGCATGCAAGGTTCAGAGGCACATGGTCCGCTTCAGAAACCGGGTCGATACGTGCGGATCTAGCGAGGAGAAGTTCGATACAATCGAGATGGCCGTGGATGATGGAATGGATTAAGGGGGTGAAGTTATCGTGGTCCGTAAGGTCGATCGTCTTTTGATTTGCTAAACTGCTGTCAGTAAGGTAAGTTAATGAGTGGTTACTCTGCTCCAACTTGCCGTCAAGAAGAAACTTCGACATCTCCAATCGTCCGTGCAGACTAGCATAGTGCAGAGGAACCCGACCGTAGACATCTGTCCTGTCCACGACAACGTTGACCGACAAGCCCCATTCCAAAACATATTGCTTTCCATAGATGGCAGCTTGGTGCAGACAATTTCTTTCGTTGATGTCGTCATATGAATGGAGATCAACAAGGCCTGTGTCAAGTAAAACTCGCAGAGACTCTTGCGGGGCTTCGGAGATAGCTGCCAAGAAGGTGCGTGTGACCCTTTCCATCAAAGAGCTATCTCCATCTCCAGCATCGTTAGCAGAGCGCATCCGCAAAAGAAGGTCCTTCAACGATTCGAGGTTCCCCGTGATGACAGTGTCGAGCAGCAAGGTATCCGCATCCCCCTCATCAGTACCAACGAAGTGCTGCGATGTTACAACGTGCCCGGATTGGAAGTTGACCTGAATACCATCTGACCAAGCACCGAGTTCTTGCAGGCTTGTGGTGGCTTGGTCAGACAATTCGCTGATGACTGTTGCATTGAAGAAAGGTTGGACCTCGACAGCCCTTGAGAGGTAAAGTTCCTTGGTCTTGGATTTGGAGGTCTTGTCCCACTTCTTCAGGATCTTGGAAAACGCAGTACCGTTGATCTCAACAAACTGTTGGAGTTTGTTCAAGTCTGTGGCAAACTGTTGGAAGCCTTCCTCGAGGGTGGTGAACTTGGCAGAGCGCCTAGAGATACCTTGACGGGACTGTAACACCTTCTTCTTGTCTAGGAGTGTCTTGAGACGAATCTTGAGCTACTGGGTGTCAGATGGTGGTATCGATGACGGTAGGGCTTTGAATCGGACGAGTCACGAACCTCGGCCTCTTTCTGCAGGTAGAAGGCATTGACCTTGTCGAGTTCCCGTTCCTGTTCGTTGTTTAGCAGCCATACCGGGATGTTCATGGCGGAAGCGTAACACCAAAGCTACTTACCAGTTGGAAGAAAAAGGTCGCCTTGTTGGCTTGAAGAGCGGCCTGGGAGTCTACGGGGGTGGCTGAGCGGAGAACATCATTTTGTGATGTTAGGGTAGGGGTCGCGGACAGCTTCTTGATGAGCTACACAGGAGTGTGTCAGTGGAAGTTCAACCAAGTATTGGCCAGGCCAGAAGTTGGTAGCGATCGAGGCAACGTGCTTGAGAACAGCAGGAAGAATGGACAATCAAGGAATTGTTTCTCATCAACAACCGTTACACACAGCGTGATGCTCCCTGCCGCGACAGGACCAGCATTCGTAACTCAAGCAGGGCAGAGAGTCGGGGAAGTTGGGCCCAGAACGGCAGGTGGGCATGGTAAGGGTAAGGGCAGGCATGGAGACAGAGAAAGAAACAATTTTGATAGCCCAAGCTGAACAATGCAATGCAGACCGAACGCCTGGGAAACAGAAAAGTGATGCAGTGGACCGGGCGCTATGGGGAGATGATAGCGGAGACGGTAGATGGAAGACGGGGCTCTCGGTGGCGGGAAAGGAAAGGTCGCCCGGGGGGCGGGAATGACATGGGCATACCTTTTTCAGAGCCTTGTAGTTGACAAAGCTGGCAGCATACTCGGGAACCTCGAGTTGGCGTTTCTGGATCTGCTTGCCAAACTTCCTAGAAGAGAACGTGAGTAAGTTGTGGTCTCAGAGTGCCTGCTATGACCTCGGAGTAGCCTTTGTTCTGCGACGAGTTTGCAGCCAAGAGTGGACTCTCGAGTTGCTAGAGCACCGCATACTCGGGGAACTCTTGACATAGGACAAGTGAGGGACGTGTATAACTTACATCTTGCGGCGTGGGCGCCCTCGGGGGCTCTTGGCGACTTATAGAACAGCAGACAAGGAGTGAGTAAGAAGGAAAGATGGTTACTGCCAGTTCCTTGTTCGAATGGGAGATGAGCAAGTATGTGTGGCTGAAAATATGCGAGTCTCAGTGTCAGTTACAGCGCTTGTGTAGTATCTTTGTGTCTTTTGTGCGTGTGTGCAACAGTGTTGAGGGAGAGGATAGGTAGGTAGCGTTATAGAATCCAACAGCGGAGACATGACCCAGGGAAGGAAGCAAAGCGAAGCATGGAATGGAGTCTCAAGGCAGCTCCATAAGATCAGTAAACACGGAAGCCAAGTCAGAACAAAATCAGCTCAGTCCAAGACGAAGAGCCAGGTTTGATCGAGGCCAGGTGGAGTAGTGGTCAAGTGTGAATTGAGACCCTGTGGATGCGTGCATCCTCTGCTTCACAGCAGCCACCACCACTTGCTTCCAAGTAATTCCACTTCTCTTTTCCTCTCTGGAACAAGCTCGTGATGTAGAGGGTGACACGATAAACGCCCGGTTTCTCAGGGTCTTGCTGCTTAACCCGTCACCCGACAGCACGGTTCCCTTGGAAAGACGACCTGCGAGATCGACTCCTTGAGGGCACGTGGGGGGGTATTGTATCCAACGTCAATGCTCTAGTCTCAAGGGCGTGAAGTCTCAACGGCCGGCGACAAGAGAAGACTCTCCAATAGTATGTTCTTGACTTGACGTATGGCACCCAAATGCAGGCAGGGTAAGGGTCCAGTGTAGATTTATGAGAGCGAGGGGAGGAAGCGGATGGATTCAATTGGATATTGAGAAGCATCACTCACCAAAAACGCCGAGGCTCTTGCTATTCAACACTCTCAGATAGTCAAAGTGCTATAAAGCACAGACCGATATTATAAGACCAAATACTAGGGAATCCCCTCTTTGACCGAGATTCGCCGTCCAAGTAAGGAGTCCAGACCTGTAAAGAGCGTCGTCGAGTTTCAAGGTGGAATTAGCCGGGTCCGAGTCTGAGCCGGAGTAAACTGAACTGAGATGAGATGAGGCTGCTCAGATTGTGTTGAGCGAGCTGATTTGACGTGACGTGGATCTGGAGGCGCTGTCGAAAACGGTAACAGTGTTTTTCAGCAGCAACGATCTCTTCTCAGTCAGCACAGAACTTTGCAGCGATTATAGCTGGTAGATAAGTACTAAGGTAATCTTCTTGAGAATACAAAATAAAGCCAAGGTCGGGGAATTTTTAATTATGGCAAAAGGTCGTGACGGGAGCCAAAAACTCGACCTGCCCCTCTGTCTACTAAGTAGGTACCTAGGGACCTTAGCAGGTAGGTACGGTGGACGTCCACTTTGACGCTCACAAACTCAGCCCAGTGGCTCGCTCTTTCCATCTAACGAGACGGTCAACTGCAAATGGCAGTAAGAAAGAAGCGGGGACAGCCAATAATAATTCAAGCCCACGATGACTACACTTAGACTATCCCAATTAACCATATAAAATCTAAGCGGTAAACGACCTGGTACTATGGATTGTCCCCTTTTTTTTTACCTCCTCTTTCTCCTCTCTCTAAGGAATCGACTTGATCATGGTCTCTCACTGTGACCTTCATGGTCCCACGATGTCGTGAGCTAGGCGGGGTGTTTGAGAAGTTCGAACTGGCGTCTTCTCATCCAGCTAGTTCCCTAACAGAACCTCCCACCATAACGCTACTCAGAAGATATGCTTTTATCAAGCATAAGACAGCCGAACGTGCATCCGCTAATCTCGACCCGGTGGTTGCACGATCCGCGCATCCAATAGCTGTCCCGTATTCAACCCCGTGCTCGAGCGACAGGTCCGGCTTACAACTCCGGGGCATGCGATACTGCTGTATCTCCATTTAACTATCAACTGTGGATGCATCGCAACGGAGCCTCTTTGGTGTTTCTCCGCGCGGCGTCGCACAACTTATCGTCAAATCCAATTACTTGATGTGTTTCCAGTGATAGACCCGAGAGGAAACGTCATGAACAAGGGGGGCTCAAGAGGATCTCGGCGCATCCCGTGAACTAAACCCTGCGGCTGGTCTCTGATTTCAACCTTTTTGTCGTGAACTTCTAAACCCTACTGTTCTCTAATTACATCATTGTTTCCCGTTCAGTTCCATTGGGATCACTTGACGACTCAAGGTGTGTCTTTGGTCTCTACACTTTTGAGTAATGACATCTTTCAGGCTTGGTTCGTGCCAGATCATCAACATTCATACCGGCTGATCGGGTGGAATCACCCTTTCGAGCGTCACCAAAGACCTCTTCATGGGACAAACCGCTTCGTTTGATCATATCGTGGGGTTTGCCACAACTCGTAACACAAAAATCACGGATACAAGGCAGGATATCATGCTCATAATACCAAAAGAAAGGCTAATACTATGCTACCTACAGAACTGTCAACTACGGTACGCCCAGAACCAGACAGCCCACGTTGGCCATCCGGCCAAGGTAGTACCAAACTTTCCAACTTGGTAGCCCTTAACTCTCGGTTATGCCTGAACGCCTTGTCCCTTTGAGGGATCGAATAATGACCGTATGGGTATTCCACGCCATCTATCTAGTTCTTCTTTGCTTCAGTCTCTTTTGACTCGCTTAGACTATCAGCCATGGCTTCAGCGGTAGCCTTCTTGAGGCGCTCGCTGTCGTCAATCTTATCATCCTTGGGTTTCTGATGCGTCTCCCTCTCATCTTCACTGTCTCCCAAGCTAAATGGGTCGTTCTCTACAATGGGGCTAGGTTCAACGGCTGACATAGGCTGCCACTTGCTTCCTCTTGTGCCACTGGCAGGAGCCGCATCCTTGGGGGGTACTCGTGGTGATGAGTCGTACATGTTGATCTCTTCCGTCTCCTCTTTGAAGCCAACTCGTCGGCCATTGCTGGGCTTGGGCGAAGTTGATGGAGGCGGGGGCTTGTACATGCCAGTGTTGGCCATCGGGCGGTTCATCGGAGCTGGAATTGTCAACACTTGCCTCGGCATATTATGTTCGTGATACTTACTTCCATCAGACGAGAACTTCATGCCAGCGAAGTCATCGCTAAGCACTTGGGGGTCCGCATCATAGCGGTCGTAGTCGCCGCTGCGGCGGCTAGATTCTCCAGGACGGCGGAAGGGTTGTCCTTGTCGTTGGTTCTGCTCTTCGCTCTCGTCGAAATTCTCCTCGATCTTTTTCTTCAAATTCGTAATCCATCCATTGACCTTCTCCTGTGTTTCAAAGAACCCTTTTCGAAGGTTCTCACGGATGACAGGGAGATCGTCGTCGATGAAGCTGTGCTCGCGATCATCACCCCATTCTGGGCCTTGTTGACCTTGCCTTTGTCGGCCATCGTTGCCTCCACGGTTGGCAGTTCGGTTCTCGTAAGCACCAACATTATCGTAGTGTTCCGCAAGCTGGCGCGCATATAGCTCATCCGCCTCCATTTGCGACATCTGAGATCGATTCTGGGGCCTGGGAGGTTGAGGAGGTGGGACATCGGCGGGTTCGTTGTGAGCAGCATCGGGGTCGGTCATCTCTGTGCGCGTGTTAGTCTATCGTGTCTTCATATAATATTTTCGTGAAACAAACCCAACAAAGCGTTAAATGCTGGCTCAACGCGACCACCGCTAGCCCTCAGCACAGCCTTAATAACGCTCATCTCTACGCTGGGGAAAGCTTCCTTAAGAATAGTCTCATTCTGTTGGGTCTCAGAGACAGGTCGGGGGGGTTGAGGGGGTGCCGTCTCGTTCGTCGGGGTATGCGCCTGTGTCTGAGCAGGAGCAGGAGCTTGAGCTTGGGCAGGAGCCTGGGTCTGCGAGGTGTTTGTCGCAGCAGCAGCAGTTGTGGTTGTGGTATTGCCATCATCACCTCCTAAGATGCCTGATTCCTGAACATCATCGTCGTCAAGATCAAGGGGTCGGACCGTAGTGGGCGACTCAGGACCACTCTCGGTGCTGGTGTTGTTCTTCATGGAAAGGGGATGTTAGCACTCATGATCTAGTCGCAGCTATGCTAAGCAGTTCGCGATAGGAGTACTGTACCGTTTGTCCAGGGGCTGACATCGTGATCGCACTTCTCTTTGATACGGTTTGTGTTCAGTCTGAGAATCTCACGATTGTATAGACGAGATTTGAATGAGGCTTGTTAAAATACGGACAATGTCAAGGGAAATTGGAGATTTCGCTTCAGCCTGGCCTTGCTCGTGATACTAATGTCGAGTGAGGCGCGAGGGGTCAATTAGCCTAGACGAAGCTGATGACGTTGACCCACTCGCCACAATGCACCCTTATGCAAGGCATCTGTTTGATTGGATGCCACACTTGCAACGAAACTCGTCTCGGGTCTAGGGTAGCTTTAATGCAATGGATCTTCTTTGAGGTTGAATTGTGAACCTCGGTGCTTCATCCCAAAGAGTCGTAAAGTAAGTTACAAAACAAACTTTGGTGACGAGAGTGAGAAGCAGTTGACACTGCTTGGATATCTCCGACTTTCTGTTTCTCCAGGCTCTAGTCCCCGGACAGTCTGGTTGCGTCAAGATGGCAGATTTAGATTTGGACGCTTCCTTCATTCCCGCTTTACACAAACCAGCAGCTTTGCTACCAATCGCGAAACATCGCGATAGCCTTTTATATGTCATCGAGAAACACCCGGTCACCATTATTATAGGCCAAACAGGCTCAGGGAAAACGACACAAATCCCGCAATTCTTGGATCAAGCAGGATGGTGCTCGGATGGAAAAATCATCGGTGTCACTCAGGTCAGTACTTGAAGTGGCCTTCATATTCACAAAGTTACTGACATCAACTAGCCCCGTCGTGTCGCGGCAACAACAGTTGCCGTGCGTGTTGCGGAAGAGGTTGGCTGTGAGCTAGGCAAAGAGGTTGGATACTCAATACGATTTGAAGATGTAACTTCGGCCTCAACAAAGATAAAATTTCTCACAGATGGTCTCCTCATCAGAGAGGCTCTCGTTGACCCATTGTTGACACGTTACTCCGTTATCATGGTGGATGAGGCACATGAGAGGTCTATCAGTACCGACGTCCTACTAGGGCTTCTCAAAAAGATTCGCCGGAAGCGCCCCGAGTTGCGTATCATCATCAGCAGTGCTACCTTGCAGGCAAAAGAGTTCCTGGACTTTTTCACGAGGAACATTGATGACCAAGCCAACCCTAAGAACGATGGCAATGACAAGCAAGATGAAATCGGAGCCATTGTGAGTCTCGAAGGCAGGACATACCCCATAGATATACTATATCTGGAGTCACCAGCAGAGAACTACATTGAGAAGGCGATCGATGTCGTTTTCGGCATACATACCCAAGAGGGCGAAGGAGATATCCTGGTCTTTCTTACTGGCCGAGAGGAGATTGACAACGCAATACAAGCAGTCACTGAGCGGATGATGGATCTCGGTTCCAAACATGGCCCGTTGATGCCATTGCCATTATATGCTGGCTTGTCAACAGAACAACAGATGTACGTGTTTGACAAGCCGCCCGAGGGTACACGGAAGGTTGTGTTTTCAACAAACATTGCAGAAGCATCGGTCACAATCGATGGTATTAACTTTGTAGTTGACTGCGGCTTTGTGAAGCTGAGAGCATATGATCCAAGAACAGGAATAGAGTCACTTACCGCCACACCGGTTTCTAAGGCAGCTGCATCCCAACGTGCTGGACGAGCTGGCCGAACAAAACCTGGAAAATGCTTCCGACTGTACAGCGAGCAGAGCTACCAATCACTACAAGATGCGAATATCCCCGAGCTACAACGGTCGAACCTAGCACCGGTCATTCTGCAACTCAAGGCTTTGGGGATAGATAACATTGTGCGATTTGACTTCCTGTCCCCACCGCCGTCTGAACTTATGGCCAAGGCCCTTGAGTTGCTATATGCTCTGGGAGCTTTGGACGAATATGCCAAACTCACTCGACCTATGGGTTCTAGGATGGCTGAGTTGGCAGTTGAGCCGATGATGGCCAAAACACTACTGGCTGCACCATCATTTGGATGCCTCAGTGAAATGCTGACTATTGCTGCCATGACAAGTCTTGGAGGCAGTGTATGGTTTTCTCATGAGGGCGAGAGAAAGAAAATGGAAACATCACGCAGAAAATTCGCCGTAGACGAGGGTGACCATCTCACGCTTCTGAACGCCTACCAAGCTTTTGTCTCCAAGGGTCGAAAAGAAGCAAAGTTCTGTCATGAAAACAACCTTAACTTCAAGTCGATGAGTCGAGCAGTCAGCATTCGAGCACAACTCAAGCGGTATCTTGAACGATTCAGTATCAATGTAAATGAGACTCTCGCCGGCCAAGCATCATCGGAAGATAACGCCAAAAAAGCAGAACAGATCCGCCGTTGTCTTACATCGGGTTATTTTGCCCATGCGGCAAGGATGCAGCCAGACGGGACGTTTCGCAATGTGGAGGGTAACATGACTCTTCACGCGCATCCGACTTCACTGATGTTTAACCGCAAGGCGGATTGGGTGATCTTTCACGAAGCGATGGAAACTGGTAGCAAGATATTCATCAGGGATGTCACCAAGATTGAGAAGACTTGGCTTCTGGAGTACGCACCAGAATTCTACCAGGTCACGACCGATCGGCGGGGATGAGACTAGAGGAATACAAAAGGAGATGGGGCCGTTGACATATGAAACTGCCAGACAGGCCAGGACGGGAAATAATAGCTAGGTTGTCAGATGAATGGCGGTTTCAAAGCTTCGGCATCAAGGATAGCAATGTTAGTTACGGTGTGAGGCATTTCGCCATTTCCCCACAGGCGACATAAAAGAACGATTGCTTGACTTAAAAGAGAGATACTACGGTACAGGGCATAAGTAGGGGCCATGCATAGAAAAGAATGGGTCCAGCTACCTGTAGCTATACTGTAGAGCAGTGTTATTTGCACTGTATTTTACAGACATCTACGCTATAGGTGCTCTATAGCTAACCTGCTAAATCAGGGATAAGCCCACTATAGAAGAATAAAGTTAGTTATTAGAGACCTAAGATGCGCTATAAGTCTGATTATATAAGCTCAATTCTGCACTGTACAGCTACAGAAAAGCGGGTCTCATCATATCGGAAAATGGCCCCTACTTATGCCCTGTACCATAGTAGCATGATGGGACCGATTCTTGGCTCTTTCAAGGGACTGCCTTGATCTCGTTATGAGATACTCCTAGGGACATCCATGGCAGTTGATCAGGTCATAGCTGTTTGTCATCTTGTCAGACAATCAATTTATCACTGACCGCCATCAGACGAAACTCAATATTAACGTTCACGTAATAGCAATTGAACGGAAGAATCTCGCCAAAGAAGCAAAACAAGCTTCAAAACAACCTTATGGGTTTAAGAGCGACCAAAGCAAGGTCACAATGGTGATGGCTTCGTCTCAAAAACACCAGGGAGTTTGTCATATCTGAGACCAAAATAAGCATCCGGTTTCCCCGGCGGATCTGTAGAATATGCCGCGACTGCGGCTCGAGGCCTAGGCCATCGGTTCAAATTAATTACAGGCTCCATATTAACGTCTCTTATAATCGTTAGTTTCTGTAATTTGGGCTCCGATCAAGATTTTCTAGGTCTGTAAGCATGTGCGCATACGTAGGCAAGCGATATAACTACAGTTCTAGTAGTAAGCAGAAAAAAACGCACGGAAGTGAGGAAACTGCACAAACCCGCATTGCATTAAACAACGCATTGTGGGCAATCTCTGAAATTATGACCCACGGTAAGCCAAGAATCTAATGCAAGAACATGCTGTCGGAACGATTCAGCCTTTAAATAACTAGCGATTTGCAGCTTGATATGAGAGAGTTGACGATCTCTAAGCAGCCACCAGAGACTAGGCTGGTTGGTCGGCAAGGGGTTGAAACCGGGAAACCGACAGTGTGATTGATATAGGCATTGACTGTGTTTTCGTGAAATATTTGTCGCTTTCGGATGCAATGTCTTATCCAGCCTCACCTAGTCCCCTGGTGACATGAGACTGTAGGACGTCTTCGGTCATTTGTAGCGGATACTGTATTGAAAGTCTCAGCTGCTGAGACGAGTTCGTCCAAAAGGTCTTTGGGCCCTTCAATAGGCCAAACTACTGTATAATACAGCTGCATGTTCCTGCAGCAGCCACCTCAAGACTTGACTTGCTTGACTAGTAAGCGCCCCTGACGCCACTGTGCTGCGGACAGGCGGGGATAGAGGCTTCTCCCCCTTTATTTACTTTCCTTTTCAGGGCTTGGTGCTGTCCAAGCAGACCAGTTCCACGGCATCCGTTGGCTCAAAGCCTGTTCCTGGATCGCCGGTTCCACATAATTGCCGGGGTTAGTCTCAATCCTGGACTCGTGCCTTGCATGAAGCGCTCATAACTTAATGCATTCTTGTGATCTGACTGGTCAGGGGCCGATTGTGCATCTTGGCCTGTCGCTTGTGCGAGATTGTGCCTGGTTGTGCATCCTAAGTCGGCTTCTGAATGCTTCTTTTGGGCATCTACGGCTGATGTGACTGGTGGTTTTATGCGGGCGCTAACGGGGTGGCGAGGCAGGAGAGTCTTTTTTGGAAATTAAACGGTTCTTTTCTTTTCTTATCTTGGATCGTGTGTTGGTGTTGATGGACCGAATGACGGGAAGGCTTGCGAGAGAGGTTTGGGCGTAGAGGTATTTGTACTATCGTATTTGATAACTGTGATGCTTTACGAGAATGCGGTCAACAGCTGGCCTGAGCAAAGCAAGGTAACGCAATCAAGCTTCCATCAATCGTTGTGCAACTGAATAAGGCTTCCATGACGATTTGAGCCTTGACCGGCCCTCGTTGCAAAGTCTCCATGGATCCGTAGGATGAGAAAGCTGTTAAAAAGGTCCACCTTAATCTCTCTTGGAGGAGACCTTGGAAGGGGTTTGGAAAAGAACAGGGTTCAAGGGCCAATCCGATAGTTCGACCTGGTGTCACTCCATTTCGCTCCGTCTGAGCTCCCCTGATTGGGATATCGTTTAATAGTTAGTTTGACCAAAGCACAGGCGCATTGTCTGGGATGGACGGGATCCATGGATGGCCTTCATCCCCTGTCTTGCTGCGTTGGCGGCCCCTCCGACGGGGAATCAAAGTCTCAGGCATTATGCTTCTGTAAGAATAATTAACGACGGGAGAAAAGTCCAGGTCACTGAAGCAGGGCAATTTCAGCCACTAAAGTAAGGGAATAACGTTCCCAGCTTCTGAGGCGGGTTTTGTGTTGTCAGGTTGTCAGGGTTGTCTTTGGTGGATTAGCAGGTAGGTAGCCCGTAGGTTCGCTTCCAGTCCAGTCCTGTCCTTACTCCTTCTCAGGTCGCTACTCCTGTGCCTCTCCCGTAGCAGTGCTCCACCCACATCGAGCTCCACCTCCTCCTCGTCCGTCCTCTTTACCTACTACTCTCCTTCTCTCACTCAATTCGTCGTTTCCTTCTTTTGTTCTTCAACTGTTTTTCGGTTGACGACAGCATCATTCTGCATTTTGCCAAAGCTGCACGCCAGCGGGCTTCCACTCTTTTTTATACTGCTTAATTCTAGAGTCTATAGGCTCAGTCATTCGTTTCGTTTGGTCTATTGTTTTGGTGACCACGACCTTCTTTCACAGCATCCATCACAATCGCTCAATAGCTCTCGCTCGCTCGCTGGCTTTTGGCATTTATACAGCTTCGTTCTCTCCGATCCCACGGTGCTCAATATCTACTTGTACGCTTCTCGCGATCCTTCGACGAACGATTTCAACTTCAATTTCATTCGACTGCCGTATGAACAACGTTCAGTGGAGACGATAATAATAGACCTCTACCCAACTGTCTACCAACCTTGTCCACCCCATGGTTGCGATAGTTGTGTTTGGACTTTAATTTTCGACAATTCTTAATATTCTTATACGCCATCTCACGACCTTTTCTTTGGAGGAAGCAAGACAACTTTGACGATCGTTATTTGTTTGGATTGTATGCGCCAGTAGCCCACCAATAACACCATGGGGCTTGCTCACTATCAAGGCCAAGGCCTTCGCGCTCGCGCCAACCTGCACCAAGATGTTTCCTCGATCACCGAAAAGACAGCCTCGTCCTCAATCTTCCGTCGACTAGTCACCAGGGAAAGCTGCAAGGAAGACAACAGTTGCGCTGCTGCAAGCGCTGGAACCAACTTGATCATCCCCATCGTAGTCGCCATCATGTATGCTTCAACCGCTCCTCTGCTTTTCTGATTTTGGTTTGTCAACCGGATCGTGTTTGCTGACTTTGGTTCGTTTAGTGTTCCTATTGTTCTGATCGCGGCCTTCTTGTACTACCTCCACCGTAGGAATATGAAGAAACAGTTGATAGAGGATGCTCACGACCCTCACAAGAGTCTCGACTTCGGACTGGATGATGGAGGTGCAAAGAAGTCTGCTCGCCGAAGTATCTTTATGGGAGGGGGTGAAAAGACCCTCGCCCATAAACCCAGTCAGCTGTCGATGGATATGAACCTCTCATCGCCTTACCTGTTGCCTCCTGGCATGCAGGAATCGCGCGAGTCGCTCAACTCTCTGGCTAAGTCGTTGGGTAATGATAATCAGGACCCATACCAGTATGTTGCAGCCATTACGCAAAGCGAGACCGGCTCACTGCGGTCCTTCAATCCCAAGGATTCTAATTTGCGCAATACTAAATTAAACAGTCCTCGTACCTCTGGTAAACCCGGAAGCCTCAAGATGCCTCCATCACGCATGAACTCCTTGCCTGAGACCCCTGTCTCAGCAACTGAATCCAGAGTCGATCCGTTCGGCACTCCCAAGATGCCTGCGCCAGCTCACCAAGCCAAGTCACCCTTTGATTCCGACAAGGATGGCTTCCACCCTGCTCCCATCGTCCCTGAGATCGGAACCGTTTCCGACTTTGATGAGAAGCGTGATGTCCCCTCTGTTCAGCAACCTCCTGTCGCGAGATCCAAGACTCCCGACTTTGAGTTGCCCAACTTCTCATCGGAGCCTGCCACCGACTTCCCTCTGCCTCCTGCTCGTGAGCACGAGGCAACTGGTTTGGGTTTGAACTTTTCTCTTCCCCAGCCCAAGTCTCCAACCGTTACCTCCCCCGATGCTCCGAAATCTGCTCCTGCCCACAACCGACAGAGTGATGGTTCCAACTACACCCCCGCCGCTGACATCTCAAGTTACTACGAGGACCATGACGATGACGCTCGTGGTCGCACCATGCAGCGAGGGTCATTTGTTGAAGACACGCCTCAGTTCAACGGTCTAGGAGTTCCTCAGCAAGACAACAAGCGACTTTCAGTTGGATTCCGTCCTCTGCCTCCGGATGATATCAACGAGTCTGAGGATCCTGAATACCGCGCCAACCGTATCCGTTCTTTCTACAAGGAGTACTTTGGAGAGAGCGAGGAGGCCCCTCCACCAATGCCTCCCATGCCTCCTATGCCCCAAGGAGGGCGCGCTGGTGGCCCTCAGTACTACGAGGACTATGATCAGGGCTACATGGGTGGTGCCGCAGCCCCGTATTTTGACCCGGAGACAAACGCATTTGTCATGCCCTACGCCCAGCCTGTTACTCGTCGTGCCATGACACCTCCTCCTGCCGGCCGCCGACCTGGACCTGGACCTGGTCGCCCTGGACCCCGCCCTCGCGGTCCCAACGGTTCCATCGGTGGCATGAGCTTCCACAGCGGTCCCGGAGGTCGATCCCGCGCCGGCTCAGCCCTCGGCCCCCGACCTGACTCCTCCGCCTCCGCCAGGATGCGACAGCCTCCCATGAAGAGGATGCCTCCTCCCGCCCCTCTGACCACTCTGCCAACCCCTTCAAAGCTTCGTGATGATAACTCCTTCCTTATCAACGCCGCCGACTTCGCTCCTCCCAGCAACATCCGAGACACAGCCGCTGGACGTTCTCAAAGCCCCTTCGGCGAGAGACGCCCCTACTCTCCATCAGTCCCTGCAGCTCAAACCCTCGTCTCACCCTTTGAGGAGCTCGCTGCCCTCCCCAGCCCGTAAGTCTTGTTGCATCAGATTGCTATACACCCCGTTACTAACTAGTTACAGTCATCTCCTCCGTAAGTCTGGTACCTTCACTGGTCTCGACTTTGCGCCTCCCAAGAAGTTCAAGGATTCCGACAACATGAGCGATGCTGGAAGTATCAGGAGTAACCGCAGCGGCATGTCCCAAGCCCAGCTCGGAGCCATCCGTAACGGTGCTGGACGTGTGAGCCGACTCCCAGGTGACCAAGTGTTCACCGCAGACGCGCTACAAGATACACTGAAGCCGTCTTGGGGAATTCGACCTTGATCGAATAAAAAGCAGCGCAAACACCGCTGTGTATAGTCCGACTTTTCGGACATCACAGATGTGTCAAAAGTTCTCTTAGCGTTGTCTTTTCTGGCATTCATCACTCACAGCGTGCGCGGGTCTTGTCCACTTTGCACATTTTTCTCTTCTCAGGCGTATTTTAGGGTCATGATGTCTTGCGATATTCTTATTCATACTGGGAACCTGCAGGCTTGCATATTATAGAAGGTCTTGGATTACCACACGACAAACTAGATGACGACTGGCGGCTTGGACGACTTCCAGCCGTTGTACATAGGTCAATTGGATCTGCCGTTGATCGCTTCAACATTGGCATCTTGTTTCTACCACTTTCGTTCCGATAAAAGTTACCGCGTGATCTTGTCCTTAAGAGACCGTCCCATTGATGGCCTGAGGTCATGTTGAATACATTCGTAGTATTCTTAGATGTGATGTTCGGATTGCTGGTACGATAATCGCAACACACTAGATTTACGCCGTATTCACTGTCAACTGCGATGACATTCTACGATGTCAGACAAGCAAGGCACCGAACGATTGGCAGGTTTCGTAATAGATTTGGGCATCGTGGATACTGGCGATCAGCGGCCTCCATCGAATCAAGGCCGTGTTCCTGAACCGATACGACAACACGCGATCCGGATTCTATTTTTGGTCTCTGCCGTGCTCTAGTGGAAGGCAGACATCTTCAGGTGGAGCTGACAGCGAATCTAGCTGGATTCAAGGCGCACGAAAGAAAATTCCAAGATTGAGATTTGTCGTTCTTTTCTGATGAGATCATTGTAGTTGATCTTTGTAAATATTTGGGAGAGTTTCCGCGATAAGACCCTGGACTACGTACCTACCTAGGTACCAGGTAGTCCTCTGTTATAGTACAGGTCATTTACCTTACCGTGGCAAGCCTTGTAACTTTCGATATCAGTCAGGTCTCAATAATAATTACCAGCAAACCCTGCCTATTTGTCGCAGCCCTAGTTTGATTAGACAAAGCTTATACCTAATGACGATAATCAAAGACTATTTGAGCCCTTTGACGAGGCTGCCAAGCGATATGTTTTGGCTGTCGAGTTTCCAATAGTCTGGTTCACCAAAGTATAGGGATCCTCGCCGTAGTGGATCATGTCATTTACCATTCAGGTCAGCGTATGAAGGTACGTATGCCTTTTTAAATACCCAATTCTAGACGGCGTCTGCGTCTCAAATTCAACATTCCTTTTCATAGACAAGCTTTTGAACCGAGAGTGCAATTTAATCGTGGACGGAGGTTCTTCATCCATTTGAACGTGGAGTGCCAGGCCTTGAAGCTAGGGTTGCATTGACAGGTCTTTTCATCTATCTTTTTGGGCATGTCACCGAGATTACATATATGCTCCCAGTTAAGGCAGAGGGCACGTGAGTTGACGTTGTTCTTGAGACTTGAAGCGCTCAGCAAGCAGCAAGGGCAGTTGATCGATCCATTGGGATAGTCACAGTGGGCGATATGGATCTACTACTCCCTATGTGTGCAGGAAAATGACATTCCATTGCAGAACCGATTAAATTAAAAGGGTTCCTGACGCGCCATAGAAAAAGTTGAATGCCAACCACCCCAGTGGTGGATTTGATTGGCACTACAAAGTATCCCTCGGATCCTTTCGTGTTTTCATATGCAAAAGAGTGATTTGTGTCGACAAGGCAAGATATCCAACAATCAATGATCACCACAGGGTCTCTTGTCCCTCGAAGCTGAAGTCCGGTGGCGGATTACATTGAAGGATTTATGACTTGGCTTCATCACCATGACGTGTTAACCCCGTTTGGTGAAACAACGATGGTGAGGGTCCAGAGAGGAACTTTTTCATACTCACAATTGGAGCTGCAGGACAGTACAGTCTTCATGGACTTTTGCTGGTATTGTTGTGTTTTGATTTCGATGGTGTGGTTGTGGTGATAATCTCCATGGGGAATGCAAGGGAGAGAGTTTTGGGGTTAAAGTTTAATAACTAATTGCTTTTTCAGTCACTCTAGCGATGAAAAAAATATCAATAAAATAGACTTATGATGATAGTAATTCAATTGAAATTCATAGGACAAAATGCCCAGAATAACAACTGCTCTTGGCCAACGGAGTTTCTGGTCGCATCGCTCCGTTGATCGTCCCGAGGGCGTCAGAAAGCAGACAAGTAAGAAACCACAGTCTGCCTCGTATCGTCTTGGGGGGGCTCCACGCCAAGAAGACCCCGAAGCAACCAAATTGGGACAACCAATTGTCGGTTCGTGGCTGAAGAAGTCAAAGTCTTAGGCTTTTTGGATGTGTGCGAATGGCTCTGTTGAATGGCAAACAAAGGCCCGATGCTGATTTTAACAATCATGTGCCACACTCGTCTCAGCCTGTGATTATTAGTTGAGCATTCGCTATTTCTTGTTATGCAGTTGTATCCAATGTTTCTTCTCTTTTCATCAAATGTTCTTCAATTGATACTGATACTCACTGTTGGAACAAACGACACGACTTGACCAGGACAGCATAGCGCAATACGCCCATCCCGATCCCGAAAGCAAACCGACACCCGTTCTGTTTAGTCGCCGTTTTCATTGCTACAAGTCAAGTCAAGTCAAGTTAGGTTGCTTAGCTGAACGGTTCATTCACCTAGGCTATGCTATTTATCTCCTAAACTCAGTATCATCTATTGAGCTTAGGTTTGCTCACTCTGAGCTTCTTAGAACAAGGCGACTTTTGCCTATTGATAGGACAAAACCAAGGTACGTTACATTACGTTACGTCGGATCTCAATCTGGAATTCAAAGCCTTGGAGGGAAAAAAAAAAGAAATGGAGCTTGAGCATTGTTCGCCCCAGGTCCTGGGCCTCCACTGTCATGGCACCAGTTTGGTGGAGCTACGAGGTCATTTACTGGGTCGACCAGCCTGGGCCTCCAGCGGCCGCTAAGACCTTTGGGTTCCTTCCTGCCCGTTACGTCCACGTTCAGTTGGTGAAGGGTGGGTAGGTGTACCTGCAACATGCGGCCTTTCTAGGCTATTACTCCCCATAGCAGCCAATGCTCCCGTCCCGTCTAGTTTGTCTGTTTTTACCCGACCGACCTGACTTGATTCTCCATCCACCCTCACTTTCGCTTCCTATCCATTCTCTTTCTCACGCATCAATCAGGTCAATCTCGAATCGTTACCTTTTCGTCCTTGACGCGTCCCTGGCGAATCCCTTCGTTTCTCTCCCATTTTGAAACGAATCAGCTGTTGCTCAACAGATTCAAAGGTATGTTGTGTCACGGTACATGCATGCATGCGTGCATTTGCATCTTGTCCTCCTTTTGTTCCAATACCGGGCAATACTATACACTGCAATGCCTCATCTCACTCAATCTTATCCTCCATCGAACCCCCGCGCTCGTACTCGCCAATCTAAGAGTCCTGGTCTGAGGAAATTCAATCGCCAATATCTCTTCAATTCATTCCGACCTTATCGCGTCTAACCTGTCAACGATCGCCCTTGTGTTGATCGACTTTAACCGTCGCTGCACCGTCTCCCTTAGACGCATGTTCCCTAAACTCTACCTCTTCTGAACCCCTTCAAGCCTCAATGCGAGTGCTCGACAAGTCGCTAACATGTTTCTCAATCTTAGGCAAATCCCCAGCGTGAGCACGCCTACCTTCGCCATGTCTACACCCCAACCGGCCCAGCCCACCGCTGCGCAACCATCCGCCAACCCATCTGCCGATGACAACAATACCGACGCTGCGAACCAACCTTCATCACCAGCTGACGATACTGCTGCTGCGTCGGCTACATCAAACCCGGCTTCCGCACGGCCTTCCAACAATAACTCTTCACCTACTCAGAACCAGCCAAGTCCAACCCCATCTGAAGACGAGCAACCGTCAAGCGCTCCTGCAGAGGCATCTGATGATGCCAGCCCTAGCAACACACCTCCACCCGCTGCGGAAACATCAGCTGCGGATCCATCGCCTTCATCCGACGATCCTTCGCCATCCACAAGTCCCAACAGAACTACTCAAGCCAACCCAACTACTGAAGCCGCAAACCCAGCTTCCACCGACGACAGCAACGACGATCCTAGTTCAACTCAAGAAGAAGAAGCATCTCAGATTACTACTTCCGAGGTTCTGTCAACTGTCATTACAGTGACAGGTAGCTCAGGACCTGAAACAAGCATTGTTTTGGTTACCGCTATCCGTACCCAAAGTGTCGCACCTTCAGAGGCTTCTGCGTCTGCCACCAGCACGGATGATGCTGATGCGATCGGCGGTAGCGGTAGCGGTAGCGGGAATGGCGGTGATGGTCTGAGTCAAAAGAGCAAGGTTGCTATTGGTGTTGCTGTACCAATTGCTGCCATTATTCTTCTTGCGCTCCTGGGTCTGTTTTGGTGGAAGAAGAGAAAGACTAGAAGACAAGCTGAAGAGGAGCGACGAAAGGAAGTCGAAGACTACGCTTATAATCCCAACGCTGACCCTACGATCCCTGCTGTTGGTATGGCAGACAGCGGTTACGAAATGAGGGAAGATGGATCTTCAGGTTACCGTGGCTGGGGAAACACTACTATCGGCTCAACTGGTCGCAAGGCCTCTACTACTTTGTCTGGTGGCATTAATGGCGCTTACTCCGACATTACTTCACCAACTCGAGGAAACATGTCGGATGCCCGCTCCGGCGAGCCTCTTATGGATGGATCACACTCTCCTGAGGGTGAGATCCTTGGAGCCATGGGTCCTTCTGCTGCTAACAACCGCGGTGCCGATGTGCACCGCGGCCCTTCCAACGCTTCCTCTTCATACAGTGCTGCTGGTCGATCTGATGCTTCAGACCCGATTGGAGTTCCGTACGGGGCTGGCGGCGCATACTATGATCAATACAACCAGAATCCTTACAGCGATAACGGCGCTCAACAGGCGATCATTCGCGATAACCCTGCACGCCGGAACACACGCATCGAGAACCCTTCTCATTACCCACAGCAGAGTGCGGGTATCTCGCAAAACTTCTAAAAAAAATGTTATTGTTTTCACATGCTACCACTACCGGTCGCTACGATATTTCTTATGTCTCTAGAAAGATACCCACGTCCTTCCGAAATCTCTCGCTAGGAGGTGGAATGTGCACTCAAACGGCGTTTCACACTTCCCGGCGTCTACTTTGCTTTTCCAAATCAGCCATTTTCTTGGAATAGGCTACAATTTAATCACTCACTTTCTGGCATCTTGAGCACCATCTCAAGGGCATCCTTTTTCTTCAAATACAGCCATTCAAAACCGGTGGACTTCTGGTTACTTTTTCTTTTTTACCATTTTCAAAGGCAACAACCACAGGGTGGCTACCCTTGTGAGTACGTTTACATTATGAGGAGGAACTTGTATATACGATGAATGGCGGAGTTATTCGTTGCCCTCTGTCATGGATCATTGGAAGGGCTACTTATTCACAGCCCTGTAATACTGTATCGAAAGGAATTGTGAAAAGTTATTCTGAATCGAAGTGGATCAGTTGTATCAGGTGGACTTGTTGCGGTTTTAGAAGTTGGGGGTCGAACGATGCAGAGGTACGGGCTTAGAGAAGTACATAGCAGGCGAATTGACGAAATACTATTTGCAAAGACCTGTATGCTTTGACTTCGTACTGAGATGCCATGCCAAGCTTCCTTGTACTGAGAAACCCGTCCTGCTGGTGTGCCTCTCCGTATGTGTAATGGCACTGACGACGTTCAGGATTTGTTCCATTCTCCTCTCTCCAGGAGCAATGTAATATCTTAGACGACGAGGTGGATGTCTAAAGGTGCCAGAAAAGAGTTTATAACTGCATAGTCCAATAATTCAATTCTGAAGCTAAGCTTTCCAGCTGTTACAGTTTCCAGCTTCAGGGACTTTTGATACGCCAACGTCTCCTTAGAAAGCCAAGGGACGCGTGCTCACCCCAATACCAAGCCATCAATATCTCAATAAGAAAACAAATCTACAGTACCGGTGCTGAAACTCCAACCCTTCCAAAACTCCCTGCTCAGAACATACAAATATTAGGGGCTATAAATGCCCTGATCCCATTGGGAGATGAATATCAGTGAAGTGGGCATATATCTTGCCCAGGTACGACCCGTTTACTGTCCCCTGATGGCCTGCAACAAAGCTTGCTCCTTAAGGCGTTTTTTCTCTGCCCATTCTCGGCTCGCTATTCTAGAGCGTTCTGCAGCCTGCTCTCGGGCCAGTCGGGTCGCTTCCTCACGTTCGCGCTTCTCGCGTTCCTTGTCCCGCATATAACCATTGTTGTCTCGTTGGAAGATTTCCTTGCCGCGGACCTTGAGTTGGTGTGCTTCTTCGGCAGTAAGAGCCCGCTTCCCACTGCCGCTTCCCGTAGACACTGAGGTTCCCCGACTCAGATGCTCCTGTGACGTAGCTGTGGACAACCGACCTCGATTTTGGGGAATCTGCCCCTCGGAGCTGGGGCTTGGGCGTGGACCTAAAATGGATGCTCTCTTTGTCTTAGCCGCGTTCGCTTGCTTTTTTGTATCTTCTTGTGGCAGCTTCCCTTGTCGAGCAAGGCTGGCGATGGTCTCTCGCGGGATGCTAGCTGGCGTGAAACTATTACGCATAGGTCTGGCCTTGAACTCCCGCTTGCGTTTTTCCTCTTCTTCTTGTGCCTTGAGGCGAGCTTCACGCTCTTCGCGTTTGCGACGAGAGATGGCTTCTCCAGGAAGCTCAAAAATTGGCTTAGTGAGTGGTTTACTAGACTTCGGTCTCGGTGGAGGCACATAAGCTCTCTGAGCCTCAGCCTGTTGGGCTCGGCGAGCTTCACGCTGTTCCTTCAGACGACGAGCTACAGCCTCACCAGGAAGCTCAAATTTGGGAATAGTAGGTGCCTTGGTAGACTTGACAGGCGCTTTAGAAGGAGTAGACTGAGAGTTGTTTCCGCGAGTAAATTGCGGCTTGGGCTTGAGGGTATCGTCGGAATCGTTTTGTTTCTTATCACGAAACACGAGAGAGGTTGATCGACGAAGAGGAACTTGCGACTTTTCAGTCGGCTTGACGCGCACTGTCGAAGACATACCGATTACTGATGCTCTCTTAGAGATAGTCGGCATTTTTGCTGGAGAGGGTGGCTCTAGGTGTTTGCTGGTGGGTACGTTCTCAGGTAAAGCAATTCGCCGTGACTGCGTAAAGGCGTCAATAGCCTCGAGCTCATCCTCAAGTTTATCAAGTTCTTCGAAAGAGTCCTCAATTCGGGGCACGGAGAAGGAACCGTTCCGCGAAGACCCCCCGTAGCTACTGCATCTGTCGCTGATCAAAGTAAGAGAAGGCGAAACCGCCTGTTCTACCACTTCGACCACTTCAGGTACTTTGAGTGGAAGAGTTTGGTGGTCGTCATACGCGGGAGGTGGAGGCAACGCCATGTTGGGTGTGCTGAAGGAAGTTTGTGGGGGCTCAAAACCCAGAGCCATGTATTCTTCAGGTGTCAATGGAGTCGCTACGAAGGTGTAGATGTCAGTCTCGGGAGTGTTGAAGAGATTGTATCGTGGCCAGCGTGACAACAAAGTGCAACCATAAACCTTGGTCTCCATTTTGCAATGGTCGCTTTCACCAATGTCGGGAGAGTCACTGTTGTTGGCTTCACTAGTTGGCGCTGAGAACGATACCAACCATTCGAACTGACCTGGTCGGTGATCTAGATGAGGGCTCAAGCTTGGCCACGCTTCGGCCAGCGGGTGCGACTTGCAAATGTACCCTTTGCAGATGTCAGTATTGATACAGGAAGCATGGAGTTCAAGGCTTAAGTTGATGAAGGGGTCAAGAGCTGAACAAGAAACAAACCTTCTGATGACTGTTGGTGAACAGAGCGATTGCTATTCGCAGGCGAACTGGCAACAGACAAATTTGAATCTTCTTCCTCTACTACCTCGAGGAGCTCGAAAGCTTCGGGCTCGGTAGATGATCGCCGTGCTCGACGAAATGACGAGGGGACTTTGACAGCACTAGGTCTGAGGTGCAATTTTTGATTTTGGTACTGCTGAGGCGAGTTTTGGGCAACACCCTGATTGTGAATATGACGGGCTGAGAGCTCTTGGAGTGCTCCTCGGGTCGACGAAGAGGAAGAGGGACTTGAAGTAGATTTGGGTTCGATAAAATGAACATCCCGGTTGTTAGCGGAACCAGAGGAGACCGGGGCCTTATTAGTGGCAGGGTAGATTTGGGGTTGATGATCCATCATGGTAGTCATAGTCTACCTAGTTGGCTTCAGGACAATGAGATGAGCCTCTGGATTGGACGTTTCGATGGAGCCAAGGGAGACCCCTAAGGCTAGAATGCCGGGGTCTACTCGAGGGTCTAGAAAGACAATAAGTGAGACTGGAGCGCCACCAGGCTTCTCGTAAGTCAAATCTCAAGTGATAATAACCTGGGATCTGAGTGTAATTTCACAGACAACAGGGGTAAGACTATCAAAGCGACGGCCAACAGCGGGGCCTCGTTTAAGTCGAGACCTGGATAAAGTAAAGTAAAGCACGGATTGTACTGTACAGTACTGTAGATTTGATTGAATTGATGAAAACGGAACGACCAAGATATTTAGCAATGGTGGATGGAGCAGATGAGAAATGTTGGTGATGGGGAGGAGAAGTAGAAGATGGCTGCATGGAAGTAGAGTGATGTCAATAAAAACAACAACAACAATGGGTGTGAGCCACGGCAACCGCGAAGCTGCATACTATGGTACTTACTACCCTTACCTTCCCATTTCCCGTCCCGCACCTTCTTATTTATTTTTGGTATATGAGCAATTGCTTGGTCCCTCTTTCTTGAACGCAACTTGCAATTGACCCCATCACATCACGTTTCTGATAGAGCCTTTTCCATCAGCTTGCCGAGTCCTGGTAGTACTACCTACTAAGATACCTGTATTACAAAGTCAGTATGACTTCGATATAATGAAGTCAATTGCTGCGTTTCATTGGCTACTGAAGCTCCAGAGCGGGAGTCCCACTATTGTGCAGAAGCCCATGCACTAACTTAGATGATATGCGCAAACGAGATCCACATAAATTGTGCGAGATGCTGGGCTACCTATGGTATCCATTGTATGTGCTTCATTATTATCTTGTAAGAAACACACTATCACCATTCTACCACGTCAAGATAATACTTTCGTCTTCAATTACCTTATAGAAAGGTGCCGAGAATATAATTTGCCACTGAGGTCAGAGAGTGTCGGAGAGTCTCAGCCAGTGTTGAGATCAGGTACGGAAATAGAGTTGTGCTTGCGAACTCAAGCAGTCGTATCAAAAGTTCCTGGCGATGGGCTTTACACGGTAAATACCGGCGTCTAGATTCATTTACTGTGTTCTTGTATTATAACTCGAACTCAGCAAGAATTGCTCGCGTTCATGTCCTAATTTCTTATCTCTGATAGCTAAGGAAGGCTTTTTATCAAGCTATCCAGGGCCTTGTGGACTCAGGTTCGTTCCATGAGCTGCTCTCCTACTTTTAACATGTCCACCCCTCAACCAAACGAATCAAGGTTTACTGAGTCATCTTTCAATCAGAGAGATATGACTCTAGCTGTCAATCAAACCGAGTTACTTCCGGAGCCCTCTGAGAAGTACTGCCTACTCTTGTTCGTGTCTCAACCAAGCAACCCTCTCTCCCTCAAAAAGCCGGCTTGTGCCGGGCGCCGTTCTTCTCTTCCTCGAACATGCTGTTTGCCTGACCCTGAAGTAGAAATTTGATTACCTCTCGCCGTCGGGTCTGAGTGTTCTGAGATAGCAATGGGCTGCTGACTAAAAATTGGAAACCAGCTATTGTTTCATGGGCGGATTTGGTACGGTTGCGTGTGACTTTGTTGGTTGGTGCAGTTCCTTGGTACGGTACTCGTGAGACGAAGCTTGAGACAGCAAAGCTTATAAGGAGCATCTATGCCTGGCAAAGCATCAGGCGAGATAAACCTGCAGATATCACAAGAGGCTTGGCATTCGTTTCGATTGATTTATCCGAAAGCCTCTATAATTCATGACTGCTCTTCTTCGGCGGCAGCTTCAGCGGCCTCTGCCTGAGCCTGTAATGCTGGCGCATGTTCTGTTGGGATTCGAACTAGAGTCTGAGGAAGTGGCCCCGCCGAATCTTCAGATGCTTGTGTAGGGTCTGCTGCTGTTTTTGCGAGTTTGGCTATAATTCTGTTAGACAAGCTTTGCCAGTTGAAGAATAGCAAGACATACAAGAAGCCATGTTGATGGCACGTAGAACATTATGCCAGTTGCCAACGACCGCCGCAATTGCTGTCAGACATTAGTCCAAGCACGTGAGCCCGAGAGGAACTTGGTTACCTTCTGTCCCATCAGATAGTGTTGAGAGCTTTTGTTCCAAAGCTTCCATTTGTGTTGCGACCGCAGCGCTGAGCTCTCGGAGCTCTTTAAGATTTTCGAGTTCGGCCTTCTTTTCTTCGATCCGCGCTAATAGTGCTGGTGATTGTCCGCTTGAAGATGCTGAAGCACTCGGTGCGCGCATATGCGAGGATATCGGTCGCGTCGGGTAGGACATGATGACTGGCGGCGTTATTCAATAAACCTTCGAAATGGTTAACGACGTCGTTAGCAGTTCAGCTGCCACCGCGTTTGCATCCATCGAATTGATGGTGGGGTTCAACGTGGGGTTTCCACAAAACCTGTAGCTGGGGCAACCGGTAACCAAGCGCCAGAACAAAAACAGTCATCGCCATGGAAGTAAATACATACAATCAAAAAATCCCTTTTCAGGTTGGCATTGTACAACAGTTTGTGACTTAATCAAAAGCACATATCAGCGCTCGACTAACCGCAGAAAACCTCAAATTGGTTGCCGCAAACCACCCCATTATGCTATGGCTAGACTGAACGAACCCCCGGTGTCTACGGACAGTCTTGAAACGCGTGAGTTAAGCTCAACTCCTGGAGCCTAAACTACTGGGTTCATGAGAACTGACTTTATCTTGTGATCAAGTTCGAAAGAAGCTTCTACGCCAGAACCGCGATCTCGCCAAATCAAACAATGCCCGCGCTCTTCGTGTTCGAGAACTTGAGAATGACTGCGCTTGCATGTTGTCCGAAAACCTCGAGCTTCGGGGTCGTATTCTAGAGCTGGAAAAGGAGCTTGAAGACAACGACTCTCGAAGAATCGCCGACCATGCGCTCGCAATCAAAACCAAGTTAGAATCTCAACTTACTGAATGGGGTAGCCTTCTCGCTGGGCTCGGTTTGGAGCCACCCATGAAGCGACACTCTCAACAACCAAGAAAGTCATCAACCAAGCCAAGATTGAGCTTCAGCTCTGCCCGACCCAGCCCTTCACAGCGACGCCTTCGGGATATTGCCCGCGAAATCGAAGAGCTGGGACACATCTCAGAGACCAAATCGTACCCGAGACAATCTATGAAGTAAGCCAACTTGTTAACGTAGATGGAAGCGTTCTAACAGTACACAGTCCCGAACAAATCCTAGCACTTCGATCAGAGGCTGATTATGACGATATGGCCGATACATCTCAATCGCCTGAACTCGGCCCCCCTCCCGTCTCGCATTTTATCGAAGAAGAGGAAGAAGAGCCAGTCAAGGTCGACTCACCTTCCCCTTCACGTTCTGCTCCCGCTCCCGCACCTGTACAAGAAAGCCCCAAGACGAAGCTTACGCCACCCGAAACATTCACATCACCACAAACCGCCAAGATGTTACCGAGACCAACTTCGCCGGAGAAGAAGCGAACAGAGGAAATTGTCAAAACCCAACAGCCGAAATTAATGGAGACCAAGCCCCTGGCTACCAAGTCCATTGAAACCAAGACCGAAGAGCCACCCATGGAACCCCCTATGTCCCAGCCCCAGCAAATCAAGATAGGATCAAAGAGGAAGCTCGCCGCTAGAGACGATATGGTCACGAGTAGATCGCAAAAGAACAACGATGAGAATGAGAACCCCCGGGTGGTTAGCGAGAAAGCAGGAGGCCGAACACTGAAAGAGGTTTCCGGTTTGAAGAAGGAGTCGCGGGAGAAGGCGAATGCCACAGGTACAAGGAGACCACTATCGGCAAAGAGCACGAACGACGATATGACTTCACCAAAGAAGATTTCTAAGCCAGTCAACACGGATGAGATCGCTGCAGCCAAAGCTGATCTGCTGAGATCAAAGATTTCACCACATCGACCCAAATCCAGGTCCAGATCCTTGGCCCCTATTGCCATTGAGCCCATCCAGGACCCCGAACCCACAGTCCCTACTGTTGCTGAAGTTCAGTGTGGACTTGCAACACCATACACAGACCCATCACTCCTCTCCCCGCACTCACCAGATACCACCGCCTCGAAAGATACAGGACGAGGAGGAACACCGCCACCTGCAGATGTCAATGCAAACCGAGAACCCGCAAGACCCAGCCGACGAAATAGAACTGCAGTCAGCTATGCTGAACCCAACCTTCGAGACAAGATGCGAAGACCCACAAAGGAATTGCTTGATGCTGTCGCAGGAGATGGCAGAACTGCCCGGCGTTCTAGTGTAGCTGAGCAAGCTCCAGACACAACCAAGCTCAAGCGCGAGAGTGATGCCGAGGATTCCTGGAAGCAATTACCGAGCGTCAATGCAACAAACGCAGAGAACGAGCCCGGCAGTATCCCTGCCAGTCCCTTGGCTGGAAAGGGCTCAAGTCCTGAGGCCTCTAAGAACATGGCAATTCGAAGCGGTAGACGCACCTCAATGATGATACAAGACTTGGTTGCAGGCAGCGAAACCTCTCATGAAGATGGCAGGGATGACATGGCATCTGATACAACCGGACTAAGTGAAGTTGACATCTACGAATTCACACCCTCGTCACCACAGTCTGAAGAACAGGGCCCTACCAGAACTAAGAAGAAGCCCGTCAGTCGGCAAACTTCACGGCGCGTCTCATCTGCGGTTCATGTCGAAGAAGGTTCTGGGGCTAGGGAACGTGCCTCATCAAGGCGAAGGAGTATGATGTTGTAATGACTGCATATTATGAATGGGAGTTTGGCAGAGCATTTGAGGCGTTTTTTGTCTTTTCTTGTTTCTTCAAAAGGAGTATGTTGCGTGTCAGCGCTGATACTGCTTTGACGGAAATTATTCAGACTGGTTGCATGCCCGAGATACCTCTACAAAGCGATGGATAGTTGTTTGTGTTTTTTTGAATATTTATTTATAGTTGTAATGTTCCTTCTTGGACACAAGCACCCAATTGATGCATGCATTGGTGATTCGTCTTGCCAATTGACGCTTTGTTGGTCTAAGATGAGAGCCTCTTTTTCTAGTGAGGACCCCTGCGCATTTGTTCAATGTGTGACTGGGTATAGATTCTGCTGCTGGTCTTGAGTACGTCGCTGAATGTAAACTCCCCCTATCTATATAAAATCATGATGATGCTCCTCCTGAAGGCTCTACTGGTTTTGTGTATGTCACCTTCTCAACTGCCACGTTCTCGTTGCCCTTGTCGTCTTTTCGTAATTGATAGACGTATAGGGTGAGTGAGATGCCTTGAACCTAGGGTAGGGTCAGTAATCATATCGCCAACGATAAACAGCAAGTAACATACATCCATAAGACAGAAGCTTGGTGTAGGGTCTTCAGACTCTTGGCTGAAACCTTCCATGAATGCGCCAGTTGCACTGCCAGGGTTCACGAAGAACTTGTCCATATACTCGAAGGCATCAAAGCGGTGAGTACCACCCCAGCACAGAACATCCACGTCCAATTTGTTCGCCTCGGCCAGAAGAAGGTCAGGTTCATTAGAGACGAGCGTAAATCCCTCTAGGAAACCAATGCGAAGACTTCCGTGGGTGACTACCTGGGTCAATGGGAGGGAAGTGGCCTCGACGTCATAGCGGCCTTTCACAATCTTGAGATCGGGGGAGACGGATCGCAAGTACTCGTACGTGTGCTTATCGGTCAAGTTTCCAAGGCAAAGCGTCTGGCTGATCTTTCCGGGGGAGAGGAGCTTCTTGAACTACAAACAGAGAGCCGTGTTAGCGATGCGCGCGACGTTGGAAGCACTGCGCGCTGGATGTACCTTGGCGGGGATGTCAAGCGCCCGATCCGGGATGTGGAGGTCCCCTATAACGAGAATGAGAAATGCCATATTGTCTCTCTTGTATGGGAGAGAAACGAGGCTGCAGATGTATTTGAAATTGAGTAACGAGAGGCGCGAGCTGCCAACACCTTAACCTAGGTCAGCTCCGAGGGGCACAGTTACAGTAGGTACAGACAGTGGAGGACAGGCCATACGTAGGGCGCTCGGATACAGCGGTAAAGCTGGCGCCGCATCTTGGTAACGGGGCCTGGAGGTTGGCGGATGTGGCTTAGCACGCATTAGCCACCCCACTTTCTTATCAGTCCCAGCGGGGTGCGATAAGCATGTAAAAATTTGGGAATTTTTGGCTGGGGTCTTGACTTTTACCGAACAGAACAATCCAGTTCAGTTGGTGGTTGCGGATTGAATTGCTCAACATCAACATGGCGACCCCTTCTCTGGCTGAAAAGCTGGACAAGATCAAGTCCCCTGGACTTCAGAGTCAAAAGAGGGTAAGTTGTATTTCTGCGCTATTGTCTTATGCGCCGGCAATCTCGAGTCGCACACTGACATCTTTTTCTTGTAGACTGTCGTTGTTCTGCAGGCTGTCGAGTCGACTCTCAAGGAACAGAACGCGGATCCCACGCCCACAGGATACTTTGCGGCTCTTCTTGCCCTTCTTCAACAGGCAAACAGCAATGACACCGTGAACCCGGAATTGGCGACCCCCGTCGTCTACCTTCTCGACGTCGTTACACCTTATGCCCCGCAACCTCTTCTCCGATCCAAGTTCACGCAGATTCTTACTCTTCTCGCCCCCGTACTCCTGCTACAGGATGCAGAGCCCATGCTGTTGCGATCGTCCATAGGATGTCTCGAGTCGCTTCTTCTTGCTCAGGATGCCGCATCTTGGGAGCTGTCCGTTTCCCAGATTGGTCCTCGACGAGCTGTCGCAGGACTTTTGAACATGTCCCTTGACCACCGACCTAAGGTGCGAAAGAGGTCGCAAGACGCCTTGAAACAGGTCCTCCGAAACCCGCCACCGAGCCCCTCGCTGGACCATCCTGCCGCCGATATGTGCGCTCAGACTGCCACCAAGAACTTGGAGGATTTGGCCGGTAAGATTGCGCAGGCGCGCAAGGGAAAGAAGGCGGATGCTTCCCACGACCCTGCCATGATCCATGCCCTTCAGCTGGTCAAGACAGTTGCGGCCGCGAGTGGTGGCTGGCCAAGCAAGAAGATCGAGTCTTTGTGCGAGTTGTTGCTGGGTATCGCCAAGAGTGGAAACGAGTACATGACCATGGCGGCTTTCGAAATTTTCGAGATGATCTTTGAGGGTATGACCGATGAACTTTCTTCAGCCAAACTTCCACGACTTATGGAGATTATCTCCGAACTGCGACCTTCTGCCAACGACACCCAGCTTGTTCCCCCGTGGCTCGCCATTCTGTCCCGAGGATACGATGTTTCTTCACAAGTCGAGCCTGACGAGACCTTCCAAAACCTTCCACAGATGTTCGATATGGTGGCTCAGTTCCTCGAGGCCCCCTCCGAGAACATTAGAATTTCTGCATCTGAGTGCCTGGTGTCCTTCATGGCCAACTGCATTCCCCAGCAGGTTATCCTTGAGCCCTCAATTTACGACGAGAAGATTCTCGAGAAGATTTCTAAGTCAGCAGAGTCTCTTCTCACCGTTCAGTACCAGGCCGCCTGGCTACAGACTTTCAACGTTCTGGGCGCCATCTTCGACACCTTGAGATGGAGGTCGTATCCTATCATGATGAATGTCACCAAGACGATTGGTGAGATTCGCGAGAACGGATCTTTCCGTAACAAGAAGGAAGCTGACGAGGTTATTGGAAAGGCGATTCGAGCGATGGGCCCTGAGGCCGTTCTCTCAATCCTTCCTCTGAACCTCGTGAAGCCTGCCAAGGGCCAGCCCGGTCGTGCTTGGATGTTCCCTATTCTCAGAGATTACACATCGAATACGAATCTCGCTCACTTCAAGAGCGAGATGGTGCCCCTTAGTGAAGTGATGTTCCAAAGGGTCCTCGATCACGGCCAAGCTGAGAAGACAATGGAGATCAAGATTTACGAAACCGTGGTTCAGCAAATCTGGTCCACTCTTCCCGGCTACTGCGACCTTCCTCTGGATCTCACCCAGGCCTTTGACCAGGGGTTTGCGGAAATCCTGGCCAACCTTCTGTACAAGCAGGTTGAGTTGCGACTTGATGTCTGCAGAGCCCTGAAGACCCTTATCGAGTCTAACCAGGCCATTGCTGGTATTGAGGAGCAGGAGGAGGACCTTGTCCTTCAAAGCCGTGTCAGCCGTGCTGATGCCAAGAAGAACCTCGAATACCTCTCTCAATTTGCAGGCAACATGCTCGCAGTCATGTTCAACGTTTACACGCAGACACTTCCTCAGAGCCGCGGACCTATCCTCCAGACCATCAACACATTCCTCAGCATTACTCCCAATGGTGAGCTCATGGAGACTTTCGACCGTGTAAGCAAGATGCTTGCTGCCGAGTTGCAAAAGGAGAAGCCAGCGGACAAGAAGAAGGAGAACCAGCAAAAGTCCAAGGACCACATGCCTTCGACAGCCCAGACTCTGATGGATCTCGTTATCACAATGTCTGTCTACCTACCACGAGAGAGTTTTGCTTCCCTTTTCGAGATTGCTGCCGTCATCATCAACAAGGAGGAGGAGCCCCAACTTCAGAAGAAGGCATACAAGCTCATCCCCCGCTTGGCGGATTCCGAAATTGGCAAGGCCGCTCTCCAGGAGCGATCTGCGGAGCTTCAGAACCTGATCTTCTCCAGCACTGACAAGGTCTCTGCCCCTGCTCGACGAGAGCGACTCGCTGCCATCATCGCCCTCCTTCCCTACATCCCCGACACCTCTCTTCACTTCATTCCTGCTGTTCTTAGCGAAGTTGTCATCTCATGCAAGGAGAACAACGAGCGTGCTCGTGAAACTGCATATGAGCTTCTGGTTCGCATGGGACACCGCATGGCCGCGGCCAACAACACGACCATCGACAACAGCAAGGTCCCCCACATGCCCGACGATGCCCCCACTGGAACCGCCAACATCGAGGAGTTCTTCACCATGGTTAGCGCTGGTTTGGCCGGCAGTACACCTCACATGATTTCTGCCTCTATCACCGCCATTAGTCGACTTCTATACGAGTTCCGAAGTGATCTGAGTGACGCCACCCTTTCTGATTTGGTTCAGACTATGGATCTCTTCCTTACATCTAACAACCGAGAGATCGTCAAGAGCTGTTTGGGCTTCGTCAAGGTCTGCGTTATCGGTCTCCCCGTTGAGCTCATGCTTCCTCGCCTTTCAACACTCGTTCCCAACCTTATTGTCTGGAGCCACGAGCACAAGGGCCACTTCAAGGCCAAGGTCAAGCACATCCTCGAGCGCATGGTCCGCCGCTTTGGCTATGACAACATTCACAAGAACTGTCCCGATGACGATAAGAAGCTGATCGTCAACATCCGAAAGACGAAGGAGCGTTCCAAGAAGAAGAAGGATGCTGCTAGGGGCGAAGACGGTGAGGAGAGTGACGACGATGAGGAGGGCCAGCCTAAGCGCCAGTTCGAGAACGAATACGACCAGGCTCTGTACAGCAGTGATTCGGATGATGGAGACGAGTCAGAGGATGATGCTAGGCCGAAGAGGAAGGCTCAGAAGGGCGGCAAGACATACATTGTCGAGGACGATGACGAACCTCTCGATCTTCTTGACAAGAAGGCTCTGGCCAACATCTCCTCCACCAAGCCCGTTAAGATGCGCAAGCCTCAACGTACCAAGGCCAAGTTCGACCTCGATGGCAAGCTCATCCTCGGCAAGGACGATGACGACGAGATGGAAGTCGATGACCCCAACCCCGAAGCCTCAGGCGTGGGCGCCTATGTCGCTGCCCTCAAGGGCAAGGATGTGGCTAAGCGCGGTCGTGGAGGCAAGCTCAAGTTCTCCAACCGACGTACAAATGACGACGATGATGAGGATTTCGAGATGGACGATAACGATGTCGCCGCAGTCAAGAGCAGAATCAGCCCAGGACGGGATCGCGGCAGCCGTGGAGGTTTCCGTGGTCGAGGAGGTCGTGGAGGCAAGAGTGGCAGGGGAGGCATCGCTGCAGGACGAAAGGGATTGGGCGTTGAGAAGAGACATGGAACGTCAGGTGTGGGAAAGCCTAGGAGAGGACGCAACTAGATGCCATAGCTATACCCATTCGATGCGTCATGTCTGGTTCGGGCATTTACATTATTTTATAAGTTCGTCATTTAGATCATGGGTTGTTTTAGGGTAAATAAAAGTCAAGCAAGTTTGAAATATCGAGAGCCAAAACTTCTTCATTATTCCACATTACAGAAGTGATACGGTGACTGAAGTTTCAAGTCACTGTCTATGTAATGTAGGTCTTAAAATCAAATCCATGCCTCCGATTGGGTATCATCCGGTATTGCCAGTTCAAAGTTCATTCCAACAGCAGCGCTTTCTCAGACCTGCAACATCCACTGTGAAACCTCCAACGCCTGCAATGTGCATGGCGCTCCCACATATAAGTTCACGAGAGGGAATCAAATACAGTGACCATCTTCCATGCTATCATCCCATCCAACGTTACTCAAGCACAATAACGTCCTCCGGTCGACGCGATTGCAATGGCGGAGGCCGGTGACGGTCTTCTGTAATAGGATGCTCATCCCAATAGTATCTGTGTACTGGCTCCCGACGCTGAAAGGTTTCGGGTCCTCGTTCTTCGTAACGGCTAGATTGTGTAAGTGAAAGTGCAATATCGAACTCCACCGATTCTACTCACATTTCGTGCAGTGCCTCGTATCGTGGTGCCATGTGATCATTTATGACTGCACGAGGCTCTGGGGCAGGTGGGTTGTAGCGAAGGAGACGCGGTTCAGGCTCAAAGTATGCTCTTATGTCACTTTGGGCTCTTACAGGGACGGGGTATGGTACAGCCCGAGGTTCTGCCACGACAGCACGCTGTCGGCTTTCAAGGGGTGCATGGCCAATTGGAACGATGTCATCTGCGTTGCTTCGACCGACCCGTAACAATCGAGGCTGTTCTTGCCAAACAGCCGGACGATCGCCCAATGGCCTGGATACTTCTGGAATATCTCTTCTGTACTCTGGAACTCTTTCATCACGGGACATTGCGATATCTCCAGTGGAACGAACTGGCACGCGCTCATAGAACCCACCACGATCTTCCATCACGATGGGCGTATCACGGTCTCCATGTCTTTGCAGCTCATCGAAAGGTCGACGACTTACTAGAATCCTTGCAGGATTCTGCACACCATTGGACCTTGTATCATAGCTATGCGAAGGCTCGTTAGGGATACCATTCCCAGAATGCGCAGGGACTGGTCCAGGATATTCATAAGGCCTTTCCCCATAAGCCAAGCGTTCGCTTGGTATAGGCCGCGAGACTTGCATAGGCTCGTCTCTCATGTTCATACGCCGAGATGGAGACGTTATGACGGCCGGACGCTGCAGACTGGAACTCTGAGGTGGTTCATCCCTAAAACCCTGACCTCGAGGAGGCACTGCACGCACAAAAGATGGTTTCATAACGTCAGGGGATGCTGGTTCAATGGATCGTACCAGCATATCTTGTAACCGGTCTGCCACAACGGACACAGGTGGGCGCGTAGAAAGCGATGGCTCATAAAATGGAGACTTTACCTTGCGAGCAACTTGCGGCCCCGAGCTTATGAAATATCCATTTGCAGGATGCTGAGGCTTTCCAACATAGCCGTTCTCATAGGGGGCAGGCCCAACACCCCCTGACACCAACCTTAGCTGAGAAGCTGGTGGTAGGGGATCACCTATTGAAACAAGAGCAGCGGGCGGTGGCCCGTGTGTGTACTGCGAGACCGGTGCTTGGGGTGATTTCGGAGCATGGTCTTGGTCATTGCGGTTTCGATCAAGGGCATCTTGCCAGGCTTGATATCTCTTGAACCCACGCTGACCTTTCTTCTCGGCCGAAGTCTTACGCTTGGCTTTCTTCACCTTTCCTTTTGATTTGGGGGTGACAGGTGCTTTTACGCCAAGGTTGAGCCTGGGGGATTGGCGATGACCTGGGCCGGCTTGACCGGAGATGTTTTGGACGGATCGGCTGGGAATGAGGTTTGTGGATTGGTAAATAACCTCTTCGACGGAAGAGTCAGACTCGTTGCCAGACTCTTCGCCCTCGGAATCGGATATCACGACCACCTCCCGCAAAATCTCATCCAGCTGATCCCGACCACTCTCCTCGTCTCCTCGCCACTTAACGAGTGTATCCAGGCACAGGTTTTCGACGACTTTGCGAGCATTCTGCCAGCTGGTCTCTCTTAGTAGGGTATCATACCTCGTGTGAGTATGACGAATGTGAGCAAGCACTGCCAGTTGAACTCGTCGAGCGAGAGTAATATCCTCCGAAAATCCAACTTTCTCTTTTTCGCTTTTGTTTGTGGGATCCTGTAACCATAAGTATGCGTCACCTGGAATGGAAAGTCAAGGAAAGGGAATACAAACTCGTCTGAAAGCATGCTCAATGATCATCTGGCGATCAGTGTTTGGAATTCTTGGGAATAGATCGCGCAGGGCGGCGTCGACCTGTGCATCGTATTCTTCCTGAGATTTGGGAATAGGCTCAGGGGCACCGCGAGAGACAGGCAACATCTGATCGATAGATGGTCCTAAACTGGCACGGGCTTCGTCAACTATCGTTTCCCGGACATGATGTCCGATGCGATGAACCTGATGCGATAGAATGTTGGAAGTAGTAGGATCTTTTGCGTTCTTCAACTCAGTAGAGTCAGCAAACAAGACGTTGAAACTCTGTCATGTTGATATGCGGCATACCGAAACAATGAAGATCATCGCATCCTTCTCGCGAGATAGTTCTTTGCATGCTGTCGTTAGTTCAGGATTACCGGCGGGAACGAACTCAAACCCAGGGGGTGGTGTTTTTTTCGTGGTGATCTATATGTGGTGGTGAGTGCTGTGATAACCTCGGCGCGCAACAGTCGCATTATACCTGGAATTCAAGCTTCTTTTTCTTGTCCTTGTTTTCAACAAACTCGAAGTACGAGTGATGCTTGGTAGTTTTCGGTAGAGCCGGTTTGGCAACAAAGCCTGGGGGTACAGGCGCTGCATGATCAAATTGTGATCTCTGTGCTCGTCTATGTCTTTCTTTGGGACCACCTGCCACAGCCGCGGGCAGGTTTCGCTTTTCTCTCCCCATTTAAGTTCGAAAGGCTGCGATCAGCTTACCATAGTGACGGATACAATAAATTCAAATCAGATGGCACAATGCGGCCCATAAGCAAGCCAGAAGGGACCTTCTGATGCTGAACAGTAACGTAGCGTGCTTGTTGAGCACGTTCCTCTCTGGAGTCTCTGTGCAGTGCAGTGCAAGCGAGGGTGGTATCCTCGGAGCTGGCTGGGAATGCGAGATGTATAGATAGTCGTCAAGCGAAGCAAACAACTAACGGAACGAAGCGAAACGAAACGAAACGGTTGAAGCTATATCAAGTCTTCACGAGTCGGATCAAGGCACAGACACGGTATATACAAACCGACAGCGCGTCCCAGACGACACTATGACCGGGCGAGGAAATAGGATGTCAGACAAATTCAGGCGCGAGTGCAGTGGCAGTTGGGCGCGCACGGCTGTAGGGCGTAAGGCTCCGACGAGTTTCTGCAGATGCGGATGCGGATGCAGATGCAGATGCAGGCAAACGGAGCCATCAATAGATGGCCTCAGGAAGGCTGAAACCACGATCAGGCTGGAGGCCAGAAAGTCACGTGGTTCTGCCACACGTACTCACGTGCTCAAAGTCACGTGAAGCCAATCGTGAGTTATCCTATCAATAGATCGTGAGATTGGGCGCAGTCAACACCAGCCACCTGGAGCTGTTTTCAAGGTCCAGAAGAGTCAGGCTGAATCTTTCTTTTTGATGCTATTCAGTAAGGCTGTAGCATTGGCAAAGCCGTGGCTATGCATTTATGGGTTGAAGTCAAGTCTTTCGGTGGCTCAGATTGAAGGTTCAGGTAGGTGTTCAGGGATAATTAGATAGTTTATACGATAGACAAGCTAGCAATTTTTAATTTACATGGGCCATGCTGTCCAGACACTAGACTAACCTATCATTTACCTGGAATAATGTATTGGAATGAAAATTTGTGTCGGCAGTTGTGTTCGATCTTAATAACATTGATATGTGGTTAAGTCTTGGCGATATTGAATCGATAGCCCCGAGACTTCACCCCCAGAACTTCCGAAAGAGGCAGTTTAGAAACATGTCAGAAGGGGTAAATTCTTCCGCATTTCACGAACTGGACGTTTCAGTCCTGGATCAGAGAGCCAGTTAATTGATGAATAATCGAGACTCCCACGGCACGAGATCTTAGTCGAAGCTTGTACAGAAACTTTCGTTTCGGCATGTGGGGGAAAAGGAGAATCCAGCTACGAAAAGAACCACTCATTCCTCTCGGGAAGGAAAAAGGGTGTTTTTATGAAACAGTCTGGGTCGATGCGATGCATGACAGACCGTTGTGTTTTGTATGGGACTGATGATCGCGGCATTTGCCGTGCAGTACAGTATGTATCGTCTTGTATCGTCTTGTCTTGTCTTGTCTTGTGTCATTGTCCATCATCCGTCATCGTCAGGGGCAGTGGAGAAGATAATCAGGGCGGCAGTTGGCAGAATGAATGAGAATTGCAGCAAGTCGACTTCTATTTTTGTCCTGACTGCCGATCACGGAATGTTGTTGCCAGACAGCCTAATCAGGACATTGGTTGAGAGTGGCAAAACATAGCCAACTTTTTGAGGCTGAGGCTTGGGCGGGCTTTAGCACAAATGCGTGAATACGGGCACCCGAGTATCGCAGCACTCGACATAACTGTAGTCGGTGCTTTTGAGCGAGCTGGGACCCGACAACGGCCTGACGGTGTTTCATTAACACCGACGTGATTGTTCTGTGGTACAAGTGTCAAGCGAGTGATCAGTGATCGAGGCGAGTGCACGATCATTGAGCTTACTTGCGAGCCAAGACTTCAACCTTGAATGCACAGCCTCATGGATATTCGCTGTTGTTACTGTTTGTGTTTATGCCATCAACTCAGCGTGGCACAGTAAGAACGGCACATGTACGGATACTCTGTGGTGGGCAATAGAAAAGATGTCCTCTAAAGCTTTAGGTAGGCTGCCAAAATAAAGCGCTGGTCTAAGCTAGCACAAGGTGGCCAGATTATTTCGTCTCTTGCTTTTAGCGGCCAATTCTTCTGACACCCTGGCGGCTGGGTACATTGCAGAAGCCAGTGAGGTTTATGGAATCAACAAAAAGCGACCTGTGAACAACGAGAGCGAACAAAGGAAAGCGGTGACAGAGCTGGACAATGTCACCATTTTGTTGGACTGTGCTCTGCGGTAGGATATGAAGGCGGTGGCAGTGCAATCGATAGAGCGTGTTAATGGTGATAGTCTCCCCGCAATGCCTTAACGGTAGAATCGCCCTTGTTTCTTCATTTCTTGTCATTGAAATTAGCAAGTTTGAGGGAAATGAATCAAACCCATATTCAACAGACGAGTTGAATTGATCGATACGTGCTTTGGAACCCTGAATTGGAGCGATTGAATTCTCTGTTATCACAGGCTTTGGTTAATGCATCCAAATTACAGAGTACATTCAGCGTTGTTTCGGTACAGCCACTCTCGGGACAGACGGATGTCAAGTTTCACTACCCGCCAACGCTGACCAGTCAATTCGCGGACATTATTTGCTTCAGAGCCGATTTAACGAATCGCTGTGCATAATTCCCTTACTGTACAGTACAGTACCAGTACCAGTTGCTGAACGCCGATGATATTGGGGGGCATTCCAGCCATAATAAACATTGGATGTCTGCCGTTTTGCCGTGAGGTAGGAGGCAGCCAACCGTCGGGGCAAATGAATAATGGTGCCGCTCAGATTATTCCTTGGTCGCATCGAGTCTTATCTAGCGATTGGACGGAGTAATCATCTGGCCGTGGTTTGTCTGTATCATACCTCAAACAAGACGAATGCTGCTATCTAAACGCGCTCCAAAAGGTCCTCAATGCAGGCAACAGAATAATCAACCTGAGGCTTGACCAGATTCAGCCCAGGCCACGAAGCCTCAAGGGAAGAGAGACGTAAGCTCGTAGTGTAGCTGCAGCTGCAGGTGAAGTTGACGATGGTAGCTGGCAGCGTTTACCATACCAGAAAGCGCAGCGTAGCGAGTATGGGACTCTATCACTGCCCATTATGGCGCCAAACCTGACTGAAAAGGGCAGTTAAGCGTCGTCATCGTCAGGCCGCAGACGTCTCTGCTGGTTCGTTTCGCTTTCTCTCTTCCTTCATAGGAGTTTAGTCCTGGTCTGGGCTGGCAGCCCAGGTCTCGTCTTTCGCACCCCTCGGATAGCGAAGCAGGGATATGCTTAGGGTGGAGACTTTGTGCTGTTTCTTAGAGGCTCGGTCGTCAATGCCAGTCTCTGATTCGTCAAATGGGTTACGGCGCTGCCTCAATGAGTTATCCACATCCTTGGCCCATGGCTTCGACTCCTTGGCTTGCACCACCCAAGAAAAGAGCTGACGCGTCCTCTCTTCTCACTAGTCGGCTCCCCGGCCGCCGATCCTGGTAAGCCCTGACAACGGACGGCGTTACTTGACAGCCAGTCTCCAGACTCCAGACAGCCCCAGTCCAGCGACTCACAGCGCTCACCGAGCTTTCTTCAGGGGCCTATGCCCTGGATTTGGGGATAACGAGCGTCTTTTCAGTGGGTTCTCTATGTGGGCTACAGTGACCTCCAGCGGTCCCCTCGTCCCTGACATGTCGGGGATCTTGTTGTCGGACCCGGTCGGTACGTACTTCCTGCAAATCAAGGCACCCATCTCATTCATAGAACACGGTCCCCCCAGTTCCCGATTTTCTGCCTGGTTCCATCTTTCCCCTTCTCAACTTCCAAACATTCGCTTCTGTTACAGAACTTCCATCCAACACAATCACCAACTTTTACTTTACTTTACTTTCACCAACCGTCTTTGCAACTTTGACGATAAGGTTCTATACTCGACGACCGTTGACAACTCGACTCCTGGACAACCAGATCTAATCCCAAACTCAATACATCATACCTATTCGATTACCGGTATCGCCGATAACGATACCTTCACAATACAATGTCGGCTCCCGGCCAGAATAATGTCGACTTCGACGCTCTCCTCGACTTCGGCGAGTACGATAGCTTCCAGTCTCCTGCCTCATTATCACCAGCAGGCACATCAAAGCCTACCTTCACAAGTCCTGTCAACCCTGTCGTCGCTGCCCCCGCCACCACAACTGCCCAGAGTTTGAGCGGTCCCAGTCACAACTATGACATGTACCGACAACAGACAGGCTTCGTGCCCGGAGCTATCGCCAGCACAATGGCAGTAAACCAGACCAACAACACTGGCTACCAAGACTTCCGCAGCATTGACTACGCCTCTACATTCAGTCCTGAGGCCGATCTCTTCGACTTCAACACGTCTCCTTCTCAAGCTACTCTGGGCGCTTCGGATATGGATATGGACTTCGAGTCTCAGACCGAGTCGCAACAGTTCTTCACTGTTGACCCCAGCAGCATCGAGCAGGATATGGACAACCTTCCATCGCCGCCAGTCTTGCCTACCCAGACCAACAATGTCGGTCGACTTTGGCCAGGAGCACACTCTCAGGCTGCTCTGGCCAAGGCTCAGGCTCAACAGCGACAGCAGCAGCAGATCATCCAGCAGCAACAGCAGGCTCAGCGACAAGGATCCCAGCCCAAGTCTCGAGGCAAGGCCCCTCAGCCCAACGATCCCATCGTTGAGCAAAAGATCACTCAGCTCCTCAACTCTATGCGAGCCAAGCCTTCAATGCCTGAGAGCCAGGCCACAAGCCCCATGAACAACCTTCCTCGATCCAAGAAGGATGAAGAGGAGATGGATGAGGACGAGCGACTACTCGCCAGTGAAGAGGGCAAGAAGCTCAGCAGCAAGGAGCGACGACAGCTCCGAAACAAGGTTTCTGCTCGTGCCTTCCGTTCTCGTAGAAAGGGTAGGGACACCACATACTTGCAATTCACATGAACATTACGCTAACACAATTTAGAATACATCACTCAACTTGAGACCGAGATTGCCAACAAGGTTAGCGAGAACGGTGACCTCCGAGCTCAGAACCGAGCTCTTATGGACGAGAACAAGCGCCTGACAGACCTCACCCGCATGCTCCTGTCTTCGCCTTCATTCTCCAACTTCTTGGACAACCTCAGCAACAACCCGGCCGCCGCTCAGCAGACTCCTCAGCTCAAGGTCGAGCCTCAGCCCGAGCAGCGACAGGTGCCCAAGGACATCAACCCCTACAACGCCCAGCAGTCTTCTCAGCAACAGATTGGTATGGCCATGATCCCTGAACAGAACATGGACTTCTCCATGCTCACTCTCGATGGTTCTTTCAACTTGCAGCCTCAGGTGTTTGTTGTCGATACTCCTGAGATTCCTGAGGTCATCGATGCTGCTGTTCTCTCTGGCAAGTCATCTAACTTCATTGAGCCCATCTTCGACTCTGAGGAGGAGAAGCTTGAGGTTCCTGCTATCGAACGTCCCGTCGAGAAGCCCGAGGCCTCTGAGCCTGTCGATGCCGCTCCTGTTGATGTCGAGTTTGAGTCTGACCCCGAATTTGCCCTGTTCCACACTGAAGCCGCTACCACCACCACTGAGTCACCCAAGGAGTTCGATTCTGAAGGTCTGTCCCATGTTGACATCTTTGGTGGTGTCGAGTCTGAGAAGGTCCTTGCGCGCTTGGAACTTATCGACGCCGGTGAACAAGAATGCACAGCTGCCCTAGCTATGTCTCGTGTGCAACGTCTCAGTGCTAGCTGTGACGCCGTGACATCAAGGTTAGAGCTTCTTACTCTTGATCTGTAAGACTTCTACTGGGTTGGGCAAAAGGCATATAGTCAGCGCTTTCTTGTTTTGTTTCTTTCTCATTTGTAACCTTGGGATCCTATAGCGGATTGGGATTGGAAGCGGCGTTTTGGGCAAACAGGATGGACCACCCCCGAGAGGTGCTACTGCATAACATGCTGGTTTTCTTTTATTTATTTTTCAGAACGAATGATGACGCAGGAATCTTGTGTGTAGCTAGATAGAAAGGCTTGTCGTCACTCGACACCACAAATCCAATATTTTGAAGGACATAATCTGATTCCATTTCGACCAGTGATGAATATGTGTTTCTAGAGTAATTTTGTGTTTCGCAGGCTGATGTTAGTGCTTACCCCAATTACCGCTGACAGTATCGGTGAGCTGCACAGTGACCCTATTTTGTTCTACTCACGTAACGAATGGGTGACATTCTCTATTCTGCTCTGTTCCTGTCTTTGACATACAATGTTATTGAAGGGTTTTATGCGTTCCACTCAACACCTGACCCGATCTATGACATGGAAAGCGGCTCAAGATATAAACTTCACAATCTCGAGAGCACTCAATAGTCTCTTGATGATCGGTTCACTAAACAGGACTAAAAAGACTGGGCCTTTAATTATTGGCCTGCACGACATTATCTCTTACCATACATATTCTACCGCTTACAGCCAGAAACTCTTTATAGAAACTTGGCAGTACTACTTATCCTTGGTATCTATGGCTGATGATATTTCCCCACAAGGGTTGTCAACTTTAGAACGGTACAAGTATAAACCGTTTGAGAACAACTATTCCATTCGCATTTTGACGCTGGAGCCTGGCACTGGAGATGACCCATTAGTCGGTCATCTTGGCTTCGAACACCTCGATTTAAACCCGCAGTATGAAGCTATTTCTTACTGCTGGGGCACAGACGGTCGCTCTTCTGAGATCATCTGTGATGGAAAATCTCTCGCACTGACGAAGAGTATTGAGGGGGCGCTTCGGCGTATGAGGCATGCTACGTCTCAGCGGCGTCTCTGGGCTGATCAGGTCTGCATTAACCAAGATAATATCACGGAGCGCAGTCAGCAGGTGAGTCTGATGAATGCTATATACAAGGGAGCGCAACGTGTCTTGGTCTGGCTGGGTCCTGACAGTGACGGCGTCGCGCACGCGGCTATGACTATGATACACTATCTTGATGGAGTCTTTAATAATGAAGAAATGCATAATGAGTTTCGGAGAGCGCATTCAGAAGAGCTTTTGAAACAGGACGCGAAGCCTTGGTTGCCCTTCTCGAATATGACAAGACTACCGTGGGTGAGTTATTTCACGATACATCTGCGCTGGAGAAGACTTTGCTAATGGGAATAGTTCAGTCGAATATGGATTGTTCAGGAGATTGGCACAGATGCGCCGGCTACACTTTACTGGGGAGAAGCTGAGATTGACTGGGAGATTCTCTCGTCAGTCGCGGGTGTCTTGAATACGACGTATCATTACTTAAGGTCACGGTTCAGTGTCTTCACACCAAATATCCGATATTTGTATAAAAGATTCGTCGAGCCCGATGAAGAGTACGACGTCAACCATAATCGCGCAGCATTCATCTACGAGTTACATCGTGCACGACACTTACTCTCCAAAGACCCTCGAGATCACGTATACGCCTTTCTGGGTCATTTCTCTCTTGGCACAGGGAGTCAAAGTCTTACTGAGATAGTGGCCGATTATAGCAGATCCATCGAGGATGTCTTTTATGATGTAGCAGTTCGGGAACTGTCAGGCTGCGAATCCCTTCTCGTCTTGTCTGCTTGTCATGCTATACCTGCGACGTATAAGCGCAGGATCATGGACAGGGGCGATCTACCAACATGGACTCCAGACTGGCGCATCGTGCCTCTTCATCTCATGGGAACGCCTGTTACGCCTCACAGAGCATCAGGGGGCCTGTTACCAAGGCTTCGAATCGATAACGAAAGACGTGCTCTACATATCCGCGGTGTTCGGTTAGATTATCTCTGTCGACCTTCATGGATCTTCTGGCATAATGCTTTCCAGTTCCGTCGCAATCGCAATGCTTCTACTCGCCTTCCCATCGAGGCTGTGTGGCGCGATATATGTGGTGGCAACGCACCGTTTAATCTACGAAAACGTTACCGCAATGGCGATTCGGCCTTTTTCGCTCTGGTACAGAGTTTAACAAACGGTTGTATCGGGGCAGATCGATCGCGGCCATATGAGAGTATTCCAAAGGAAGAATGGCTTGCCAACGGTGCAGCGTATCTTGTCCGCGCTTTGCCCAGACCTGGCGCCGTTAGTCCTGAGATCAAAGAACTTGCTGAAACAGGGGATGGGTTTAAATGGGGCCATGAGGCGACTCTTATAACGAGGTATCGTGGCTTTGCGATCACCAGAAGAGGTTGGTTTGTGGTCGGTCCTGATATCATGGAGGCTGGGGATGTAGTTGTTGTGTTGTATGGTGGTAGAACACCCTTCTTGATTAGGAGGAGAGAGGGAGGAACGTGGATGCTTGTTGGGGAGTGTTATGTTCATGGGATGATGAATGGAGAGGTTTTTGAGCTTGAAGGGGTGGAAGATGAAGAGTTTGTTATACTATAAAACGGTGGATGGATATAACCAGTTTAATACCTAGGTAGTTGATGATGATTGTAAAGTTGGCAATCGGAAGATGGTCACCATGGCTTTTCATTATAGTTAACTCAAGTTTCCAGAACAGTCTCATTTGTCGAGTCAGGCTATCTTGTTATGAGAAAATAGATAGATACATTCGTAAATGCCTTTAGAGCATGCCGGGTATTTTCAAAAGAGTGTGAACATACCAATTCGCCAATAGTAACGCCTATCCAAACCCCTTTCAATAAGTACCGGATCTCAGAACGATTGTAAGAAATAAAGGGTATAACCATTCGTACACATCCATATCATCCTTATTCATTCTCAATTCGTATCCTCGTCATCGTTACTCAAACACTCTCCCGTGCCTTGACTGGTGCTGCTCCTACAACGCTGATATCATCGTCAGAATCATCCATCGTTCGGTGACGAGGTGCGTCGAAATCTTTGGTTACGATACCAGATGTCTGAGGTGGCGGCAGCTCGTTTGGACTTCGAAGTTCCCAACTGCCAACACGCTCGTGATGAACCCCTTGTTTCGTCACCACAACATCCGCATCGCCATCTTTCTTCTCTGGCCCTTTAAAGCCTCCTGTAGCACCTACAGCAGAAGCAGAAGCCGTGCTGATTGGTCCTTCCGGTGGCCCCTTGCGTCGAATTCGGAAGCCTCCGCACGCGAACAAACACGCCAACAGAACGGCGATCGCAGCGATGGCGATGACTGCACCGATTATACCTGTTATAACTGGGCCCAGATCTGAAGCATCATCGTCCCAAGTATCGGTGTCTGAGTCAGTCATGATGCACCAGGGAGCCACTGGCGGACCGCAAATATCGCACCACGTGTTGGGTGATCTTCCGAGCATATTCATCCTCGAAACAAAGTTGCTATATGCGATACCATCAGGACCAGACTTGAAGAGAGGCTGGTTACGGAAAGCCTCGTCTGGATCTGCTGAGGCGCGATATGACATTCTGACTCGCAAGCTATCTATCGATGGCATTTGATCAGGGGCGTCTGGGTCTTCACCGAAAAGCTCAAAGACCAGTGCCGCACCGGGCTTAGGAAGTGAGGACCAGGGCTCTTGATCGACATTTTCTTCTGTGAGCAGACCTGAGAGGGAGATGAAGCTGACAATGGGCTCGACAGAGCCAAACATGAAGGTAAGTTTGTTGTAGTCGTTTCCCCAGCGGATGTTGCTTCTGAACTGTGACATGACCTTGTAAGCCAGCGTGCGGCCGGCGATGGAGTATAGAACACCGAGCTCGCTATTGTCATCAGATCTGTCCGAGTAGCTGTTCGCTGCACGCTCCATCTTGGTGGCGTAATAGTTCAAAAGCGTAAGTGTCCCATTCGCGTTGCCCAATTCCTCATGGACAGTCTCGTTATGGCGATACTGATAATCTACGAACTGCCAGATATTGTAGGCGTTTCGGAGGTTAGCCGAGCGCATGTCGATTGTGCCCTCAAGGGGTGGAGTAGAGAAAAGATCTTGATAGAACTGCTGACTCGACTCGTAGATGTTGCTAATGGACTCGTGGTCTGTCAAGTTTGTTGATACTTCTGTGTACCAGGCTGAACATCTCGAGGTTCCTTGCACCCTACGCCGTGTTAGTCGGGTCACTTTTCTCTTTTTCTTTTTACGAATGAGTTTGGTAAAATACGTTACGGATTCCGGGTCAAAGTAGCTTGGCATCCGGATATTAGGATATTGATATCCGTTCAGAGGATAGTCAGTCCTGTTGTCACTTGCGCTCAGGTCCAAGGCTATTTCTTCGCCTCCAGTACTGTTGTCAAAGGCGTCGCGCGCTGGTGGATAAAAGCCTTGCATGAAAGCCAAAGCACCACCAGATACCCAAGGATCGGGCTGGGAGATGATATCAAGTGCGGTATTGTCGATCACATCAGAACTGAGGTCCTGGACATATGCTGTTTGAATATTGTCATAGTTTGAATCGCTTACACCATCTGGGATGTAACGAGCACGGAATGCAGTTCCTTGTCGCAACAATTGCTGCGCGCCCTCTGGAGTGAGAACTGTACGGAGTTCGGTTTCTGCTGGTGTGGTTTCGCCATGATTGATGAATGCGACGGCAGCCCAGACCTTGTTTGACTGTGCAGCTACGGCTGGTACAAGAGGCAGGGCTGCGACGAACTTATTGAGTAGGACCATGTTGAAGGACGATATACGATACACGTTGGAGAAATCAACTAGAAATACTGGAGGAAGGCTCTTCCTACACTACACCGTCGAGCTGGTGAGATGATTGAAGGAGAGGGCTAGAGGACAAGAGGACAAGAGGAAACCTCCGCTCGAGGAGGAGTAGGAGAGGGCCATTGATAGCTTATTGAACGGTAGAGCACGAGCTGCAAGCTACAGCTGCAAAATGATCGTCATCTACCAACGCCTTATCAAGCATCAAGTCCCGTGTACATAGTTTCAACGCCCAACTATAGCGACACATAAACTCCCCGCTACAAAAATGATGTGATGATGGAGGGCCGGGAAACTACAAGATAGGTCAAGGCTGGCTTGAGATGGCTGCACTACCGACTCCTTTGAGGGAAGTTTAACTGGTGCGGGGTGAGGAAAGGACAAAAGGTTAAAACCAGGCTTGAGTGGCTGGGACAAGAACGATTAGCCAGACGGTTCAGCTTCTAGATCATGATCTCGATGCTAAACTCGAGTCAATTTGCCTGGTTATGGTGTTGACTACAAACCTAGGTACTGTATCCATAAAGAGAATGCTTGTCTTGTCATTGCATGGTTCCCTTCAGTAACCATGTGATATTTTAAAAGTGAAGAGCCATGGCTCCCTACTCACTGCAATTAGTGCTGTTTTGTTAGCCTCTCAATACGAACAAAAGACTTTGCGATTAAAGACGTTGACGTCAATTATTGTTAATCTAGAGGAGCTTAAGAACCAACCACCTAGAGCCGCCGCTTTTAGTAGTCAGCCTAACGATAATAACAAAGTAAACATCAAAATGCCTTGATATCGAACTGACTTTTTCCTCTAATTTTTTTTACTTGGCTGGTGATCCCTCCATTGGTTTCTCAATGCGGCTATGATCAAGAATGCAAGACCCGATATAGCACATTAGATGTTGATCGCACGTGGTTACCAGTCGTGTGTAAACAAGCTCGAGTTTGTATTACAGAACTTAGAATAGTCCACTATTCAGTGAATCAAAGTGAAAGTATTTCGCCATTTGCGGATGGGCAGCTATCCGTCCAGTGTCATTGGCTTTAAACAACCTGATGGCTACTGTTCACTTGTATGATTTTAGTGTAACGGTTGGATGATTTGCTCAACTACAACACTCACTTCCAAATTGTCGACTCGATGACAGCAAATACGACAAAAATGCGACAATTATACTTGGAGTTTAAGTGAACACAAATAATTTAGTCTGTTTATTCTCCCAGGCATTTCTATTAGGCATTCGGTTGCTCAAGGCTAGATGAAATGCTGTTGTTGGGTGGATGCTAACCCTGTAGTAACCGCCTTGAAGTGAAGTAGTCACGAGAAATATTGATGGAAAATGGTAAATGGCTAAAAAGTTTTATCTACCAGATGCGACATATCTCGTCTTAATTGAGCTACTCGGTTCTTACTCTAATATTGAACATCATAATTGTACAGCTCTGGCGGCATATCACCCAGGTAATTCACGATACCTCTATGGACGGGTCGAACACACAAAAACCTAATGAACAACAACGTGCTTGTGTTACCAAAGACATTGAGAAAACAAGAAAGGTGAGGAATAAAATCGGTTAACTGATCATACAGCAACTTGAGAGCTGAGATGCAAGTGTTATATCCAAGTTACCAAGACAAGAGATACTCACAAGTTATGTTGTCACTTGATCCGACATCCGTTTAGAGGGTAAAACGAACCATGTAGCTAACAGTAATTTCAAAAAGATTAGACTGTGATTAGATCCTCATCTGGCCCCCTCTTGATTCTACCTATGTTTTGAAGTTGTGGCATAGGTATTGCTCAATACATCACCAAACCACTGCTCACCTATATGGATGCTTGTCACATCCAATGTTGGAGATCCACTTGGATCCTATCACTGTTCATATCAAGAAGATGCTGCTCGACTAAGTGCCGCTCAAATACCACTGTAAGGAATTCCCGAACAGACGAGGAGCACCGCTACTGACGTCCCTTTGTGCTTTGTCATGCCGATGAGGGAGCAGAGAGAGATTTGAGAGTGTCAATGATGCAATGAGACACCTACTGAAGACAGCCCCTAGGCTAGTAACTGGTCGCCCTACAGCCCCGCCCAGACTGTCAAACAGGGACAAGGTACAGGCAGATAAGGCAGTGTTAGATCGGTACCACTGAGCTGAGATGCTTGAAGATCCATGCGATAGAACAAGACCAGCATGGATAACCAGAGAGGTCACAAAGAACTCAAGAGGTTAATCAGAGTGAGAGAAACAAAGAAGTCAACAGACAAAGGTCGAATATAGAATATAACATAGGTGGAACTGATCAGTCTCTTTGTTGGTAGAGATACCTGTCTTATCGGCCAGTTTCCTTGCTGGGTATTGGTTCCTGACGAGGTCAAGACATGCCCCTAGCTTTTCCGTCCCATGTTCCAGAAGACACACAAGCAATCCAATCTTATCAATCTAATCAACCTGCATTACGCAGATATCAGATGAAGATCTCTAACCATCAGCCACGTCCATATTATTTTCTCCAATGGTGAATGTTAACATACCTAACTGCCGTTAATGGCGTTCTGCAAGGGTTAGTATTGCAGAACTTACATTTCACCTCGTAGATGCACATCAATAAATACATTTAAATACTATATTGCCCTGCTTACGTCTATTCCTGAAGTAGCGAATTTTATCTGTCAAAAGGGGTCAGTCTTGCGATGATGATGGAATCCTCCGAAATCGAATGATGGTTGGATTTAGCGCCCTTTTTTGGGTACATCCCTGCCCTGTTTCTTCCGATGCATTTTTAGGGGAAGAGTCAGGTTGCAGCCTTAGCACATTACTTCGCTGGCAGGTACCGCTAACTAAGCTCAAGGTGGCAGTATACAGTTAAGCGAGCGCATCTATTCGTCCGTTAACAATTTCTCCACATCACCTGCCCTTCTGACCACCAACTTTGATAATACCTACTACCCTACCTCTGCAGTTTCAGGTTCTTGCCCACTGTACTGTATCTTGCCTTACCACCTTCCCAAGCCTGCGCTCACGTACTTTCCCATCGTAAAGTTGCTGTCCGCACTCGACCTCAGCGCAAACTCGGCCGTACAGCAATTTTCTTTGTTATTCATCCCACCGATACTTTCAATCGCACGCTGTACGCCGTAGCGATAAGCGACACGAAATTTACAATTATTCCTTCAATGGCACCGTCGCCGATTGCGACGTGATCGCCCACCATGTCGGAGTCGACGTCAACGTCGATCGACGCAGGCGCTGCCATCGCCAATGCACCAGATTCTCGCGATAATGTCGTTGCACCTGCGCCTACCGATAGCACCGCCAAGGGTACTGTGAATTCAAAATCAGACCCGGCTTTTTTGCACTCGCCTCCCGATAGTAACAACATGGCCAAGTCAGATGGCTCAGATTCTGAACTAAGCGACCTCGAAGAAGAGCCTGTTCTCAACAACCCGCCACAGCCAACAAACGCTGGCGACAAAAGCACCAGCGATGAAGATCAGAACAAGCCTAGTGATGATGACATCGGGGAAGTGCTACCAGATCACTGGTCTGGCGCTGTTCCCATCTTCAAGCCAACCATGCACCAATTCAGAGACTTCAAGCGCTTCGTATGTCACCTCCCGGTTTTCCTCCCTCTTCTGCTAACACTTATTCCAGATGGAAGCTGTCGACAGCTATGGCATGAAGTCTGGCATCATCAAGATCATCCCGCCACAAGAATGGAAAGACGCTCTCCCCGAGCTCGACGAACTTGTAAAGCAAGTCAAGGTTCGAGAACCGATCAAGCAAGATATAATGGGCTCCAACGGCACTTATCGTCAAGTCAACATTCTACACGGTCGATCTTACAATGTCCCACAGTGGCGCCAGCTTTGCGACCAGAGCGAACATCAGCCCCCAGCTAGACGTGGTGAGCGACGCGCCAATGCCGAAAAGCCAAAGCCACGAACGCGAGCGGCAGCTGCTGCACCCAAACCTGTCGACCTATCAACTCCTAAAAAGAGAGGCAGAGGGCGCCCAGCGAAGCGAGGCGGTAGGGGAAGGCGAGCCAAGCTAGAGGCAGCAGACGACGCCGAGGAACGGCCTATGACACCGGTCTCCCCCAAGCCCGAAGCTGCTGAAACCGAGGATAAGCCTGTCGAGTCTGTGGAGCAGGATCCGGGTGAGGAAGTTGAAGATGACTCTGAGCCCACGGTCGGTCGCATGGGGATCTCTCGACCAGCAAAATCCAAGACCCAGACGGTCTCAGCCCGCCGCAAATACAGTCGCCGGGAGGGATCCGCTATGATCGACGAAGCTGCCTTCAAGAACTGGGATTACCGAATGGACACATCAGAATACACACCCGAACGGTGCGAGGAACTTGAGAGGGCCTACTGGAAAACCCTTACATACGCGGCACCTCTATACGGTGCAGACTTGATGGGCACGCTTTTCGATGAGTCAACTGAAGAGTGGAACCTGAACAAGCTTCCTAATCTTTTGGATGTTCTAGGAACAAAGGTTCCGGGAGTCAATACAGCCTATCTGTACTTGGGCATGTGGAAAGCAACGTTCGCATGGCATCTGGAAGACGTTGATCTCTACAGTATCAACTATCTTCACTTCGGTGCTCCCAAGCAGTGGTACAGTATATCTCAAGCTGACGCTCGTCGATTCGAAGCTGCGATGAAGAACATCTGGCCCACGGATGCGAAAGCCTGCGATCAGTTCCTCCGACATAAAGGATTCCTTATTTCTCCTCAGCACTTAAAATCGCACTATAACATTACCGTCAATAAAGTCGTGTCGTATCCCGGGGAGTTTGTTGTCACATACCCGTATGGATATCATTCAGGCTACAATCTTGGCTACAACTGTGCCGAGGCTGTAAATTTTGCACTGGACTCTTGGCTTGAAATTGGCAAGATTGCTAAAAAGTGTGAATGCGCCCAAGCTCAAGATAGCGTTTGGGTCAATGTCTACGAGATCGAACGGAAGCTACGTGGCGAGGAAACAGAATACGAGGAAACCGAAGACGACGACGATGAGGAAGATGACGACGACGAACAGTCTGGTATGCCGACTCCGCCATCTACTTCAGGTGTCAAGTTTAAGGAAACTGGCCGCAAACGAAAGCGTGGACCCGGCGACAAGGGCGGCAAGGTCAAGGTCAAGAAGGTCAAGCTTCGCCTCAAAACCAAGGAGGAGCCTCCTTGCTGTCTCTGCCCTAATGATACACCATCGGCAGAGTTGTTGCCTACAGATGACGGCCGCAAGGCGCATCGACTTTGTGCGCACTATCTCCCTGAGACATATATCGAGACGATTGACAACCAGGAAACCGTCGTCAACGTCTCGGAAATCCACAAAGACCGGCTTGAACTTAAGTGTCTTTACTGTCGCTCTAAATGGGGCGCATGCTTCCAATGCTCCCAGAAAAAATGTGCTCGCGCTTATCATGCGACGTGTGCGGCGGCTGCTGGGGTCTTTATCGAGGAAGAAGAGGTGCCGGTTTTTGGCGAAGATGGCACCGAATACAAGGAGCAAGCTTTCGAGTTCAGTTGTAGGTTCCATCGAACCAAACGCGACAAGAAACTCGATGGAGAACATTTGGAGAAAGATACGCGAATCCGCACGGCAGCCTCAAAACTTCAGTCAGGCGAGACTTGTCAGTTACAATACTTCAAGGGTGATATCTTCGCCGGTGTTGTGGTTGAGAACCGGGTCGATGAGCAAACACTTCTCCTCGATGTTTTGCCTAATGGGTATGGAAGATCGCTGCATCAACCTGAATTTTTAGAAACAAAGCTAACTGTTTGTAGTGATCGCATAGAGGTTGAGTGGAAGTGGCTGCTAGTGCCTGACCCAGCTGATTATCGACTGCCGAAGGCATCGGCGAAGGCCATCCCCATGCCTGCATCGCAGAAGGCCAAGGAGAAGTTGAAGACCAAGCGACTTCATGACGGAAAGCCTCAGAAAGACGATCCGTTTGTCGAAGGTTGCACATGGGCCGAATTCCAACTTAATCCTGTCACAAACAAAGAACAGGTCAAGATTGACTTTTCCAAGCCTGATCAAATTTGGCACTACTTGCCAAAGACATCGACCGATGCTCGTGCTCAATTCACTGAAGATCCTGCCAGGAAAAGGCACAATCCTAAAGGCAATTTCCTTTCTACAGTTCCTAAGCCGGTAAAGCCGCCCAAACCACCAAAGGCAGTTCCAACATATACTTCGCAACAGCCTTACCAGCCCGCAATTTCTTACGCTGCTGGTAGACAGGAAAGACCATATGTGTATAAGCCACGGATGCCTGCCGGAAACAACTTACCTACCATGGGTAGCTTTACAACGCAGAGGTTCACACCAACTGCGCCTTCGCCTGTTCCACCTCAACATCGTCCTGTGCAGTACCCATATCCACCCACACATCCTGCGCCTCCAGGACAGCAGCCCCCAGCTGCATACTCTCCTCAAAGATTCGAGGTCAGACCCTCTCCGGTTTATACACCGCCCGGAAGCACCCCTGGTGTACACCGTCCCTTGAACGCGTCGGGACATCCTCAAAATGCCCAGTGGCCAAGGCCAGCCAATGTCCCTCATCCTGCTCATGCTTCTGTCCCTGTACATACACCTGCTGCTGCTGCCGCAATTCATCCTTACCATTCCGCCTACCAGGCCCCGAACCGGGCACCGGTACACCACCCACAGGCTCCTCCTGTGCACCAACAGCAGCAAGTAAAACCATCTTGGCAAGTACAACCGTCGATCTACCAGAAGTATCCCTTTTTCCAGATTCATCACAATAGGTTCGTATCGTAGGCCTCCATTTCATGTGGGCTTTTATTAACTCTTTCTCAGGGACTCAAGCAAATACCGAACGCCATATGCTCGCTGGGGAGGCTTTACAAACGGATACGAAGGTAACCCGAGGGCGCATATGATGGCCTACCAGGAAGCCTTTGTGAGAGGCCAACCAAGTAATCAAAACCATGGAGCCCATAGCTCTCCACACAACCAGCCATCAGCTGTCGCGCCGCCGGCACAAGTTTCTCAGATACCCCCCAATGGATATCAGTTCAAGCAACAAACATTCCCGAAGCCAGGGTCGGCGCCATTGCCGGGGCAAACTTCTACAAGTGGCCAACCCTATCGTCCCGCCATTAAAGCTCAATATCTGCCACCGGTACAGGCGCAACCTCAGTCGCAACCAAATTCGCAGCAGCCAAAGCCTCAGGCGAAGCCAAAGCCTCAGCAAACTCCGAAACCCCAGGAAACTATGCAGCCACCTAACCAAAACAGCAAACCCAAGACTGCGACAGTCTTCAAGCCGTACAAGGTAAGTACCTGGAATTCTCGATAAGAAGGACGGGTCGGCTGAACAGCCAATTCAGATACCACCCAAAGAGTCGCCAGTGCCATTGCCGGCGAACTTTTTGGCGGCAATGTCATCGACACCGAACACGCCGACTGCCGTTACTAGTCAGTCGCCTCTGCAGCAGTCCGCAAGCAAGAGCTCGCCCGCTGAGCCTAAGTCTGCAAGAAAGACACAGGCAACGAAGCCACTGCCATCGAGCGAACATACTCCAGTCAGACAGCCACTGGGTGCAGGGATCTCTAACACGCCTGTGCCCATCCCACGACTACCAGGTGTCCCGCCTACCCCGCCATCTCGAGAACCCGCTGCTCTGCCACAAAGGCAAGTACCGAATCAAGGCCAATTGATTGAGCGTGTCTTGCCACCTAGCTCAGGCGATTCAATGCTGCCTGTAGCGACACAACAGCAGCCGGCATCGTCTGCCCAGGATGGGAAGCTTCCGTCTACTGATACAAACTCGGACAATGTGTCACAGGCAGCGCTCACGACCCATGCCGTCCCCTTCCTACCACAGGATTTTCCCGACGTGCCTGGCAGCGAATCTATGGAATTCATGGCCAGTCTCTTGGCGAACATCCGTACCATAGCTCATCGCGATGATAAGCCCTAGGCTGCGACCAACACAACGCGCTTGGACTTTGTACACAGATACCCTTATGTTACGACAATGATTTTCAATCTTATGGGACGGCGTTTAAGGAACCGGCGCAGTCTATGTTCATGCAATGCTACTCGGCTAAGATTTTAATGAACACGGAGTGAAACGGATGAGAGAAAAGGGCATCGTGAGGAACGAAACTGGCCTTTATGATGCATTGTTAAATGCGAAGGTAGAATGATTTCAGTGCTACCTTACGGTTAACATGGGTTTATAGTAATATGAACATAAACGATGAAAGGTCATTCAGTGGTATCGTCGTCCAACGTGTGCAATTACTATGTTTACGATGCAAGAGCGGTGGCGCTTGAAACGTAAGCGAACAGAAGTAAACAGAACATGCAACATGGTTGTCCATTCGTAGGTGAAAGTTGGAACTTGGGCCTGTTCTACAAATCAGTTAGTTGGTTCCTATCATTGCAAACATTAGGATACTAGAAAGCTTAGCCCCTGAGATATGAGGCACGGAAGCACGCAGTATTCAGGTCAATTATTCTCATCACTATGAGACCTGGAGATAATCTTTCTGTTACACTGTGATATATAGATATGTTGTGCCTGAGTGTACATAGAGCTCGTGATGCCCTGCCGAGTGAGTGGTTGGATCTACTTTTATCTGGGGGTAGGCTCTCTCCTTCCTGCCCTTTCCCATAGCAGATACTGTAATATCCAGTCGTTAATGTAACCGAGCTTTGTTGCTTAGGTACCTACCTATTAACTCAAAACCAGAACAATGCACGTCTACCCACGTGTCCCACAAAGTAAAGTTGAGCGCCAGGAACACGGCCTTGACAGCGTCAGGCAGTGGCACTGTTCGGGCACTTTGTGTCACTGCCGTGAACCCTGACCTCCAATCCCTGGTATGTTATCCCATCTCACACTCTCTTTTTTTCTCCTTCCTTCTTTCCTTCTACAACCACCTTCGGCCAATTTTGAGAAAGAAAAAGGCATCATTTTTACCACATATTTACCACATCTTGCTTTCCGATACCATCATGGCTAACTTAGCAGCCTGGACCGATGAGGACCTCCGCCTGTCGGCCGTCCGAGAGAAAGGTTTCCCCGTATGCGGTTATCTGCGCGGATCATACCTTGGACAGGGTGGATACGCCCGTGTTTACAAAGTTCTTCGTACCGCAACTGGACAAGTCTGTGCCGGAAAGACTTCTCCTGACGCAGTTAAGCATTTGCGAAAGGAGGCACGTATTCTGCGAGGCCTCGATCATGTGAGTCTTAGTATCCCCTTACCCTCTACGTTATGACAAGCTACTGACCATTTGTGTTTAGCCCAATATTGTAAAGTATGTCGGGTACTATGAAGAAGAAGATGACCCGAAAGCGAACGTCCTTGTCATGGAGTTGTGCGCCCGAGGTAGCCTCCAAGACATGGTAAACAACCACTCTGACGGTTTGTCCAGAAAAGCTACTCTGCAAGTGATGAACCAAGTCTCGAAGGCTGTTGAGTATCTCCATAAGCGAGACCGTTTTCACGGCGACCTCAAGCCGCGAAACATCCTCATTCGCTCATGGGACCCTATTAACATCGTCGTTGCCGATTGCGCTGAGGTCTCTTCGACTAACCACATTAACCACCACAAGAAACCCCATGGAACGCACTCCTACTGGTCCCCCTACATTTAGAGACACCACGGGCATGCTGGAAAGAGCGACGACATCTGGGCTCTTGGTATCACTCTGCTGGGCATGATGGGACAGTGGCCTCATTTCGTCAGAAAGGAGGAGCGACAGTATCCTCGACTTTGTGCCACACACGCCCGCAACTTGGACAAATTGAATCCTGACCATGAAATTGCGCAGCTCCTTCTTCGTCTGCTTGAGTGGGATTTCAAGAAGCGAATCACCGCCACCGAGCTGGCCAACGTGACTGGCGAGCTTTTGGAGGAGCGTACCGGAATCCTCAAGGACCAGATGGATTTGAAGGTCCCTGAGGGAACCCGCACTGTTGAGTTTTGGTAAATGGAAGATTGAGAAGCTGACCAAGACATGTGCTGGCCTGTTGCGCCCAAGATGTCAGAGGAGTTTGGTGATGTAATCAGTGAAGGAACTTGTAACTGATATGGAAGCGGATAAGCGAATCAATGGGTATGCTAGCTGTATTTGCACGATATAATTCACTTGATAGATATGCCCTAAGGGCTTAGCATGAATAGACACTCAGTTGCGATATCCGAACTCCTATCAAAAAGTCTACTGTATTGGATTGGCAATCTTGTACTATGTGTCTGAGGTAGAGATCGAGTTGTAGAAGCTCCGGTCTCGCTAATTGCTGGTTATTGGATAAAAGAGGTTATCATCGGAAAAGTCCCGACATTCTGTCAAGTGCCGGAAGCCAAGCCTAGATCTGATAGTATTTCGACTCAAATGCCTGTAAGTTGTCGAACCAATCCCGGTAAAATGACCCCAAATACAATGCTCATCATTGGAGCCAATGACGTGATCAGCATCGCTGCAGTATCGGTATCATTAGTCATCGCGATTTCTTTTCCGGTTACGGCGATGTCGCAGCTGGTGAACCTCCACGACTCGTAAAGAGAAAGACTGCCTTGAACAAATCAAGTGCGAGAAAACAGACGTGATCCTTTTTCGCCGAAAAGAATCAAGTGTGAGCAATCTCTTGCTCCAAGTAGACTATCCCCCAGACTGGACTAATACGGAAAAGGGTCCTCGTTGATGTTGCGCTCCATATTAACCCCGAGCCGCCCCTCCCAGCCAATGCTCCGGACTGTGCTCCGAAGCAGTATTATCCCTCTTCACTCTTCAAGACAATTCTCAAGCAGTATCGTCACCATGAGTAATCAGACTCAGAAACTTCAGCCGGCGGCTCGGGTCCAGGGCCAGAAGAAGGATGTTTGGTATAATACTTCTGAACCCTCTTGTCAAAATTGTGGCTCCTAACTCGGTTGAATTAGGTCCATGATCAATGAGGCCGCTGCGTCTTCACCTATCCAGCCTATTGTGAACTTGGGTCAGGGTTTCTTTGGATACAACCCTCCTGACTTTATCCTCAACGCTGCTAAGGAGGCTTTGGACCGTGTTGAGTGCAATCAGTATGCTCCTGCTAAAGGACGCCCTCGTTTGAGGAAGGCATTGGCAGATGCGTACTCTGAATCATGGGGACGCCAGTTGGACCCAGAGACTGAGATTATCATCACTACTGGTGCCAACGAGGGTATGTTGAGCGCCTTCATGGGCTTCATTGAACTTGGTGATGAAGTCATTGTCTTTGAGCCCTTCTTCGACCAGTGAGTATCATTGTACACATTTCGAAACCCCCCCTAACCCCCCATAGATACATCAGCAACATTCAAATGCCCGGTGGTAAAGTCGTCTACGTGCCCCTCCACCCTCCCAAGACTGGCGCCACCAAGGATTCCTCTGCTGCAGACTGGACAATCGACTTTGAAGAGCTTAAGAAGGCCTTCACACCCCGCACCAAAATGATTGTCATCAACACTCCCCGTGAGCAGCACTTCTGACTCTTGTGCTTACCTCAGCGCTGACCTCCCGCAGACAATCCCGTTGGCAAGGTCTTCTCGAAAGAGGAACTTCAAGGAATTGCAGATCTTGCTATTAAGAACCAAACTATTATCCTCTCAGATGAAGTTTACGACAAGCTCTACTATGTGCCATTTACTCGAATTGCCAACCTCTCTCCTGAAGTAGAGAAGTTGACACTCACTGTTGGCTCTGCTGGAAAGAACTTTTATGCCACCGGTTGGCGTGTTGGTATGTTGAAGTTGTTGACCCTCGAAGAAGTCAGTCGTGCTTACGTTTTGTAGGTTGGTTGATCGGACCTCAAGAACTCATCCAGCATGTCACCGCCGCACATACACGAATCTGCTTCTCCACACCAGCCCCTTTCCAAGAAGCCTCTGCCATTGGTTTCGAGCAAGCTGGTAAGAATGGTTTCTGGCAGGAGACTATTACAGAGATGAAGGGCAAGGTAGATCGCCTCAAGGAGGTGTTTGAGGAGCTCGAATTGCCCGTGACTTATCCCGAGGGAGGTTACTTTATTCTCGTCAACATGGCGAAGGTCAAGCTGCCAGAAGATTACCCATTTCCTCCTAACGTGGCTAGCCGCCCGCGCGACTTCAAGCTGGCATGGTTCCTTATCCAGGAGATTGGTGTTGCGGCTATCCCTCCGACAGAGTTCTACACACCGGGCAATGCGCACCTGGCGGAGGACTATATCCGATTTGCAGTGTGTAAGAACGATGATGTTTTGGAGCAGGCCAAGGAGCGACTAAGGGGACTGAAGAAGTATATCCAAGAGTAAACAAGATAAATTAGACTAAAAACAGAATTTTTGCGGACAAAGAGATAGAGAAAGCTGATTATACGGACATTTAGATGAGACGGTGTTGTTCTGTGTCTCCTTGTACAAGCATTTGAGAACGAATCGTCCTAGTCAAAAACACCAAAAAACATACAACAGCGGGG